TCAATGAGCAGATCAAATAAATGAATACATGAATAACTGCATCATTTTGAATGTAAAAGTCCAACTGGCATTTGAAAAAAAAATCAGAACTCACGTTGCTTTGTGAAACCGCCTTCTAAGTTGTGTGAATACCAACACGAATAGTCAGGACAAATAACGATATCTTTATGAGTTCCAGATGTTTCGCAGTGAGCTTGAAGACATGGACCTGCACTGCCCCCAACTGTTCATTCAATGAACTGATCATTAAGGTCGTAAAATTTACGTGGATACCATAGTGACTGCGAGGTTATCAAGGTTTGTTCTCTTTCTCTGGCACAACATAAACCCTCGGAATGTTTTCCCTTTGTTCCGATAATGCTCTTTAAATTAACGGAAAGCCAACCGTTCTGATGAAAATAGAGCATAACCACAGGCAGTGTGTTTTATCTACCTTATCCCTGCTATACCAATACTGCCAAAATAAAATTCCGAAGTGCAAACTGAAATATGTACAAACTTCTTTAAATCCTCTTGCACGAACTTGAAGACCCAAGACCCCGTGAAGTATTGTATGAACTTAACAATTAAGTGGTGCCATATGAATGAAACTAAATAATGTATGAATACAATAATCGCGAAAAATCGCATGAATTATAATACATGCGATTTGAATTAAAATACATTCTTGGGGGTTCGTGATGCACGCACTAAAGTGATGTTTTGTATTGATTTCGAATCGTATAAAAGTTAATATTGTTGCGTTAAGGCTGATAGGATGAGGCCTATTTTACATAAAACATAGAGAAACAAATCTAAACAAGACGGTAATTAGAGACAAAAAAGCATAAATTATTTAATTTAAATCGCCGGTCGCTGAACTGTGACAAGTCAGTGAATTAACTAAAATCGGCGGGGCACAATTGGCCTTATAGCTTCTCTATACCTCTGCTATGAAGAAGGGCCATTACCCAAAACGTCGTCTATTTCATTCACCTGTAAGTGTCCTTTTAGGGTCGTACATTAATGACAAACGTGTTGACTTTTTGAACTATTATCTTGCGAGGTGTAAATTATTTTCTCTGCTAGGTGCATTGCGCATATTGATGTTTGTATTTCTACCAGAAACCAAATAAAATATTGTACTTCATTCGGCGGTGTTTTGTCGGGCTAAGAAATCAGATACCTTGGCAATATGTAGCACAGCGCTGATATTAATGCGTACAAACATCAGCAGTAAGACGCGTCACCGGTCTGCCATGGTTCCTTTAAAGGGGTGCTCAAGCACTGTGGAGTAAATTCATATAACATTTACCGCACTTACATTGTTATAAGGCAGGTAGAGACGCGTTTGGGGGGCTGGGGTGCTTGTTATAATCCGACAGGTGAGCAAGTGTAACGCTTGCACTTGAAATGGGAGCGGTCGCGTAGTGCTTAGCACTCTGCGCCACGAACCCGGCGACGCGAGATCCGATCCCCGCTCCCCACCAACACCGGTGACGATCATCTGAACCTTCCCCTAGGTCGACTCGGCCTCAAGTGAGTTACCTGATGCGGTGAGCATCAGCACTGGGGAGACAAAGGCGGCGAGGCGTGGTTTCTGTCTACACCAACACGCCGAGTGCACGCTCGTGCCCGCTTTCATAGGTTGCTCGCTACGGGGCCATCCATTTAGTAGGCACGCAAAAAATCTGTCCAAACTTGACGGCTCCCCTCCTCCCTGTACGCACGTGGACTATTTATACCCCCCCCCCCACCACCTGCGTACGTACAGCTTGACGTACCCCCCCCCCCCCCCGAATCCTATAGAACGGCCGATATTTAATCCACGCAGAAACCATCAAGGATTAATAATATTAACGTGTTTAAGCAAACAGATAGTCCACCGCCGCCGGACTATCTAACTAATTCGGAGGCTAATGTAGACAAATAATTATTATCGAGGCTTCACCCCCCCCCCCCCCCCGTTTCCTATGTGTACATTGTCAGTGGACCCCCCATACGCAAGCGTACGCATTTGGGTTAACCCTCTCCTCTCCATGCGTACGTACTAAATAGATGGCTCCCTAACCCTCGGCATGGAAAATATCGTGGCACAAAGTGTGGATGACCCTGCTGAGGCTGCGGTGCCTCAAATATTGGAAGAAGTCACCCCCTGTGAGTTGCTGACTGAGGTGCCATCTGTTGAGGAAGTACTGAGTCTGAGACCAGGAAAGGCACCGGGCAGAGATGATCTCCCAAGCGAAATGCTGAGGGAGGGTGGCGTTTGTGCACAGACTGCCCTATATGACATCATAACAACAGTCTGGACGACTGGACGGGTTCCGCAGGATTGGAAGGATGCCCTGGTGGTCCCCCTCTTTAAGAAGGGGGACCGCACAGACTGTAACAACTACAGGGGCATCTCACTCCTCAGTGTGCCGGGAAAGGTCCTGGCAAGGATTATTCAACATCGCCTTGCCAGGCACGCTGAGGAGAGGCTTGCGGAGCCCCAATGCGGTTTCAGGAAAGGGCGGTCCTGCACAGATGCCATATTTTCTGCCCGTCTGCTACAGCAGAGGTGTAGGGAATTCCAGCAAGACCTACATATCTGCTTTATTGACCTGGTCAAGGCCTATGATACCATCAGTAGACCTGGGTTCTGGGTTGTTCTTCGTGATTTTGGAGTACCTGACCCTCTGCTCACGATCATTAAGGACCTTCATGATGGTGAGCGGGCCTGGGTAAAACTACGTGGCCGGGAGTCAGAGCCATTCCCTGTACACCTTGGGGTGCGACAGGGATGTCCTCTGGCTCCCACATTATTTAACATCTATTTTGACCACGTAGTTCGTGAAGCCTTCAATAGCTGTACCGGGGGAATCTCCATATGGTACAGATATAATGGGAGGCTGATCGATGCCCGGGTGCGGTCAAGAGATGGCTCCCTATTGCTCAACCACGTTATTTATGCCGATGATTTGGTAATAGCTGCTCATTCAGAGGAGGAGTTGGAGACGCTGCTGCTGAGACTGGAGCGTGCCACTAAGAGATGGGGCCTTACCATCAGCCCCACCAAAACTAAGCACCTGCCTGAGTATTTTGTACCATCGGACACTCCACCCCCACAACTCCCAATCGGTGATGGGGCAGTTGTGGAGAGAGTGGAGAGTTTCCCATACCTGGGCAAGTGTGCTTATGACCGGCTCCAGTTTAACAGCAGAGGTTTCACCCTGAATCAGTCGAGCGGCAATATCTTTTCATCGGTTGCGTAACGCTGTGTGGAAGCTACCTGGTCTGTCGCTCCGCACTAAGCTTCAGGTCTTCTCGGCCACGGTCATTCCCTCCCTTCTCTACGCTTGCGAAACGTGGACCCCCCTAATGGAACATCTTCGCCGGTTAGAAACATTTAGGCTGGCCTGCCTACGATCCATCCTGGGTTTAACCAGGCTGGATTGTGTGAGGAGCTCACAAATCCTTGAAAGATCTGGGCAAGGTCCCATCGGTGAGCTCCTCCGGCGGGCAAGGCTGCGATGGCTGGGTCATGTAGCCCGCATGCCCAGCCACCGCATGCCGAAACAGCTTTTGTTTGGTCGGATTGAGGGGGCTAACCGGGCGCGGCACGGGCTAGAGAAGAGATGGAGTGATGTGGTACAGGAGGACGTGGAGCTGAGTGGACTTGCCGATGACTGGTACCAGCGGTGTCAAGATCGGCCTCTGTGGAGGAGGCTCGTGAAGGACGCTACTGGACAGTTGGAGGTAGTCGCCCTCCAACAACAACGGAGGGCGGAGGAGCGACGCTCACAACAACGAGCGGAGCGCCGGGTGGCTAAAGCACAGCAGGTTGGCACAGTAGGGGGCACAGGTGGTGCATCAGCCAGTCATCTCAGTCAGTCGACCCGTGGCACCTGCTGGGTCTGCCCCGTGACCTCCTGCCAGCGGGCGTTCGACACTTCACGTGGCCTCAGGGTGCACATAGCCTGGCACAAGCGTCGTAGTGACGTCACCGCCACTTAGTGGCGAATGGCGCTTGTTGTTGTGTGGTGTTGTGTGTGGTGTTGTGTGTGTTGTGTGTGGTGTTGTGTGTGTGGTGTTGTGTGTGGTGTGTTGTGTGTGTGGTGTTGTGTGTGGTGTTGTGTGTGTGTGGTGTTGTGTGTGTGTGTGTGTGGTGTTGTGTGTGTGTGTGGTGTGTGTGGTGTTGTGTGTGTGTGGTGTTGTGTGTGTGTGGTGTGTGTGGTGTTGTGTGTGGTGTGTTGTGTGTATGGTGTTGTGTGTGGTGTTGTGCGTGTGTGGTGTTGTGTGTGTGTGTGGTGTTGTGTGTGTGGTGTTGTGTGTGTGTGTGGTATTGTGTGTGTGTGGTGTTGTGTGGTGTTGTGTGTGTGTGTGGTGTTGTGTGTGTGGTGTTGTGTGGTGTTGTGTGTGTGTGGTGTTGTGTGTGGTGTTGTGGTGTGTGTGTGTGTGGTGTTGTGTGTGTGTTTGGTGTTGTGTTTGTGATGTTGTGTGTGTGTGGTGTTGTGTGTGTTGTTGTGTGTGGTGTGTTGTGTGTGCTGTTGTGTGTGGTGTTGTGTGTAGTGTTGTGTGTGGTGTGTGTGTGGTGTTGTGTGTGTGATGTGTTGTGTGGTGTTGTGCGTGTGTGGTGTTGTGTGTGTATGATGTGTTGTGTTTGTGATGTGTTGTGTGGTGTTGTGTGTGTGGTGTTGTGTGTGGTGTGTGTGTGGTGTTGTGTGTAGTGTTGTGTGTGGTGTGTGTGTGGTGTTGTGTGTGATGTGTTGTGTGGTGTTGTGCGTGTGTGGTGTTGTGTGTGATGTGTTGTGTGTGTGATGTGTTGTGTGGTGTTGTGTGTGTGTGTGGTGTTGTGTGTGTGATGTGTGTGTGGTGTGTTGTGTGTGTGGTGTTGTGCGTGTGTGCTGTTGTGTGTGTGTGTTGTGCGTGTGTGGTGTTGTGTGTGTGTTGTGTGTGTGTGATGTGTTGTGTGGTGTTGTGCGTGTGTTGTGTTGTGTCTGCATTTAAATGCGTGTGTGAGTTTCGTGGCTACGCCTCGCGTGTCACCGGGAAGGGGAAAAAAATGCGGACGTCACCGAAGGGGTCATCTCGGAAGTAAAAATCGTCTTGAAGGACCACGGTTTCATTTTACGCTAGTTAATGGGTCGCGCTCTTGTTTCGACATCTATTATCGCCCGTCGTTTGTTTATTTGCAGCCGTTTGACACCGTCCACGCGTGTCCACCACCGAGAGAAGCTGGCGGACGTGGCTACAAGTAGGTACGAGTGGAACTGCGCGACTTTCCTCTGTTCACCGAGTATATTTATTACACGCGCGGTGGTCATTCTGGTGGTGGTGCTTCTTGTTGTTGTAGCTGATGATGATGTTGTTGTTACAAACTTGACAAGTTACGCACGAAGCGTTGTCTTCAGCAGATTAAGATTAAGAATCGGCGTGTACAAGTAGCGGGTTTTCTTCTTTAAATACCCGTACACATACATGAAACAACGCTGCAACACAGCATACAGTACGGTGCAATACGTATCCCCCCTGAGTATCACACAAACGTGGAAACCTTTTTTTTTAGAGTGCAACATTGGTGCGTGATTTGAATTACATCCCACGGCAAGATCGGAGTGACACACGTGTAGGTGGATTTCAGAACTATGCTTGGGGAGGAGGAGGTGGTGATGATGTTCGTCCCCTTTTTGGGCGAGACTTTGTATCCAGATCGGTGGTGCTTCTTCCTTGTTTCATTTATTTGGTATAGCCCTGTGAGCAATTCGGCTCTTGAATCGGGTCCAACCGCAACAAACAACAAACATGAACAAGAAAAAAAAACATCTTAAAGTGACTATGCGCGAACAGAAAAATCTCGGGGGAAAAAAAACCCAGCAAAAAACTTCCAGAAAATCTTCTTCAACCTGGGGGGTGCCAGATGCCCTTTCTGGGCGTGCGAGGCATGGCCAGATGTTTGTAAGAAGGTAAATCATCGAAAGCACGGGCGCGTAAGCACTACTCTGTTTAATCAATCCCATATGCGCTTATCAACATAATTTGTTTACAATTGAGAACCTAAGGGCGGGTGCGCAAGGCTGCAGTGAAGGTTGATAAGAACGGCTGCTGCGAAATAGGATGGTCACATTGGAGATAGTGAACCCGTTACACTGGAACGAGACGGATTTGGGCTTTTGGCCATGGCGTGGGGGGGGGAAAGCCTTCACGCCGTAGGTAACGGATGAAGACAGCAACGATGTTGATTATCCTCATGATTGTGCTCGACTAGTGTGTTAAGACACAGAAAGACCAGGCTACGCGGATTTATGAACGTGTGAATTCGTTAAGTAATAATAATCGAGCTAGCAAAAACGTTCCCTCTTGTCCTACAAGGGTATAGTGAGTGATAATATCTTTACATCGAGCATAGCCAAATGATGCAATATCGGAGCTCTGTGTATCTGAACAGCCCTTGCACTGTTATCTCTAAGCTATGCACATGACGCACATAGTACTTGTATTAATGGACTGTGATTCTTGTAGAGTTGGAAATCCCCAGTTCTCTTGTTTGCACCCACATGGAGAAGAAGAAGAAGAAAGCACGTGGCCATGCCCCTAACGTGTCTTTTTTTTTGTTCACTGCAGTAAAGATCACAGCTTGCGTCACGATATGACTCCAAACACAAATATTCCCCCCCCCCGCCCCCAAAGACGCACCCCAAAGCTTGTGCCCAGTGTCAATACATTTATACAAATGTGAACACGTACAAACATTCATAAACTGATCAGTTTGGGGCCGTCCATAAATGACGTCACGCACCTGGGGGGGGGGGGTTCAGACATTTGTGACGATGTGTGGCGAGGGGGGGGGGGTTGAGAAATGTGACGTCACATCAAAATGCGAAACTTTAAATAAATATAGACAACACGTTCTACTTAATTAAATAGACTTTTTAATACTGTAAATGTATTCTCCTACAACATCAGAGTGCAGCGGCACATTAAATACGCACTACAATGACAATAGTTTAAAGCGATTTGAAGCATTTTGGGGGGGGGGGGGCAGAGCTTTGTGACGTCATATTTGAGGGGGGGTCTGACTTTTTGTGACGCCGTGTGACGATGGGGGGGGGGGTCAAAAATCGTCCAAAATCGCGTGACGTCATTTATGGACGGCCCCTTTACAAAAACGGAGACCAACTTTTGCTTTAAAATACAGGGGGAGTGGGACTGTGTCTTATAATCCGCAGAACACCGTAATTCAAATGCAACCAAAAGTACCGTAATCAGCGATTGGACACCTGACATCATTCCGATCAAACCACTGCACCTGATTTCGCTGGACCTCAAACGCCAATCAAATTTGAGCCTGTTCAGTGCTTGGTGTATGGGTTACTGCCATTGTTTGTGGATGTGGGGTAGCCAGGTGGCCAGGGGGCTGCGGTGGTGAGATGTTAACTACCTCGCCAGGTGTACAGGAGGTCGTGGGTTCGATCCCGACCCTGACGCCTGCTGTATATTTTAAGTCTGCACGTTCTCCCCGTGGTAATTGGGATTTTTCTCCGGGTCCTCAGATCTTTCCCTCCACATATATATAGAAACGTACGTTTAGAGTATTTGGCTGATATACATTTTCCACATTAGCCACTTTGTTTGGCTTATGTGGAAGTGGCCAGGTCACTTCTGAAAAAGAGCTATATACTCTTTGTTTTTTTTTCGGTAAAGTCACGTATAAATAAGAAATAATGAAATAACATATTTATGTTATTTTATTATTTCTTCTTAACATAATTATGTTATTTTATTATAAGAGTAATTCCTGCAGTCACGAAAGCTTCGAATCAAGTCTAAGAGTTATATAGCTCAGTGGGCCTTACCTGGTAAAAGAAACATAGAAAATGGCAGTTGTGTGTTACCCCTTCCTCTGTTTGATTTTACTCTCGGTGCCCTGGTCCCTTCCCACAAGCTAAAGGGGCCGTCCATAAATGACGTCACGCACCTAGGGGGGGGGGGGGGGTCAGACAGGTGACGATGTGTGACGAGAGGGGGGGTGAGAAATGTGACGTCACATCAAAATGCGCAACTTTAAATAAATATAGACAACACGTTCTACTTAATTAAATAGACTTTTTGATAAATGTTTTCTCCTACAACATCAGAGTGCAGCGCCACATTAAATACACACTACAATGACAATAGTTTAAGGCGATTTGAAGCATGTTTTATATTTGGGGGGGGGGGGGGCAGAGCTTTGTGACGTCATATTTGAGGGGGGTCTGACTTTTTGTGACGCCGTGTGACGAAGGGGGGGGGGGGGGGCAAAAATCGTACAAAATCGCGTGACGTCATTTATGGGCGGCCCCTAAGCACTTGTAAACGGAATTGGCCAAACGTCCAAATGCTGGAGCCTCTGGAAGAGGTCTTGGGGCTCAGGCTTTCCTGGGTAAAGAGTTGTTATGTAGCGCTGTACTTTCAACCATATCCTTCCTCAAGAGGGTCAGTCAGCCATACCCTTCCTCAAGAGGGTCAGTCAGCCAAAACCCCAAAACATTTTTCTCAGAATAGAGAAAAGTAATTAGTATTTTTGTTTTAATTAGCCTGTTTGTTTGTTCTATACTAGAGATTTAGTAGAAGTCTCAGTGTGAAACCTATTTGTCCTTAAGCCCATGTTTACTGCCGTTCCCCATCTGCAGAAACATTTTAGTATAGGAATAGCAACCATTCTGAAAAGTGCCGGTACACGTGCTTGGTGTTCTGAGAAGTGCACGTATCGTGTACCGGTCCATTTTGACCACTGCTTGTACTGGAACGAGAAAAACAAATTAAGCCACGAAAAAAACCTCTGAAATTTTGTTTTGATGACAAGACCTGCCGGAATCTCAACACTGCTTTCATTGTTGTGCTTAACACTTAAATTGCTAGATACCCAGTACCAGTGAACCAATTACTTTGCATTCTGAAGATTGTGACACGATGGAAGAAAACCAGTTCTACTAAATCTCTCATTTGACCACTGAGTACAAGCAAAAGACTGGTCTGTGTGCCAAATGTAAGCACACTGGCCGTTGTATAACATCACGATAATTAACATCAGGCAACCACAATCATCTGTGGAACCTATGTTTAACCAAAATTATAAAACAGCCATTTTTAAATCCACAGTTGGATGAAGGACCTTTCCACAACTTTCTCTCGCAGAGTTTGTTTCAACTATTTTTTTTCAGCCTAATTTCCCATTATTTGGCCCTGCGTTTTTTTTATCCTTGCTCTACTTTCCCCTTCTGCTCCAGCTCCATGCTGATGTCAAACCTCCCCATCTCCTCCTTTATCACACCCATCTCACTTTTCTTTTCTGCCTCTTGCCCTCCTGCCATGGAACTCCACATCCTGCACTCTTATTACCAGCGTAATTCGCGTCTCTTATCTCCACCTGTCCCCACAAGGACTAAAATGTATTGGCTATTCCATTGATAGGACCGTGCCAAGTTATTCTTATTGATGAATGCTACCTAACGCAGTGTTTGTATAAGCAAGTCACCTGTAATAGTAATTTGATGTCCTCATGATGTTTCTCACATTGTTTCGCCTGGGTGTGACATTCATGCAAGCCACTGATGTGTTTTTGTGTCATTAATGTGAAACTGACGAATTGAGTTAAATGCTAGCTCGAGGTTATGTATCAGTGATGGGTGATAAACAGTCTTGGGTTCCGCCTTCATCATCCCGCACTGACCAGCATGGTGAAGTATGGCCAAACGACCCGCCAAGGCCGACACAGCATGTGGAAGCCCTCATCCAGCAGTGGTTTCAGAAAAGGCTGTATATTACTGTATTATAACTTTATTGATAGTTATGAAAAAAGTTTATGTTGCGTACAATTTCAGAGAACCACAAACTTTATTTGGGTATCCTATCCTCTGATTTGCTTGGTAGTCACAAGAAAAAAATGTCGATGCTCCGCATTCCCAAATTTGCATAATTAAAATGCACAGCAGCCTCTTAACAAATATAACAAAAAATATCATCACCACTGCTATGAATAAGAGCCATTGCCCGCAAACATCGCCCCTTATACATGCTCTTCCTTTTAATGCCACAGTGTTTTTGACGGATGTGTTGAGTTTTTCTTGCGCTTGTGCACCACTGCCAATGCAGCATCACCAAATATTGAAAATTGCAGCATCACCAAATATTGAAAATGGATTGCTTCGTTATAACTTTGCAGAACAATAGATGTCTCAATGTTTTGTTTGTTTCAACAGGGATGCCGCATTGGATATTTTTGTGATGGATCTAAAATGGAAGTTGCACTGCATCAAGAGCAGGTGTACATCTTAATATATTTGGTAAACAATTCGGCTATTTGAAATATTAACCACTGCACCCAAAATATTTGGCAACAAAAAAATCTACATTTCACATATTTTTACAGACGACAGTGTTTGCAGAATATTTGTATTGTAAGTTAAATACAAATATTCCAGGAAATCTTTTTTAAAAATCTGAAACATTTAAGAAAAACTAGGCGTAATTGCAAATCTACCGCAGCGGTTATGAAATGTGAGTGGAGCTGGTCACAGATGTTGTGCAGAAGGTGCCGTGGTCTTATTTGAGTGCCGCATTACATCTGTTGCCGCTCTTCATCATCAACGCTCCACCTGAAATCCCACCACATCCCGGTCGGAAAGTCTTAGCATTCGAAAACACTGCACGTGGCAGCAATTGCCAACCTTTAGATTCATTCTGAACGACAAGATTTAAAGATATTCACTTCTGAGGTTGTACGCCGAGGCCTGGCCATTGGTATTGTACATCCCAACTACCTCCGTTACTGGAGGATATAAATTGCCATGGCTTCTGGGACTTCGGAATCGAGCCTGGCCTTGGTGCCCTACCAGAAGTTGCTGTGCTTGCACATGATAAATCACGGCGGATTTGGAATTGTGTACCGGGCACGTCACGCCGATTGGAACATCTCCGTGGCCATCAAGTGTCTGCGCTTCAGCGGGTCCGTGTCTCAACAGTAAGCCTCGCACAGTTGTCATTTGCGCACACCGCATACATAATTTGTCTTCTTTTGTCAGGCATGCCATCTGCATAAGGATCATCAGCTATGGTAAATGCACTACTGGATAAAGGCCTCCTTGAGCAGCTGTCTTCTTTCAGAATCCTGCGATGTAAAATGTATTGTCTTTTGTAAAGTGTTCCTTGCAATGGATGAGGTTTTCCCTTTGCAAGTGAGGCAATGTTTCATGCATCTCAATTAATTTTATCTCCTGGTTTAAATACAGGATACATACTTGGAAACGGTTATTTCTATTCTATTTCGGATTTATACAGCGCCATTTCTGATGAATATCTTTTTAAAAATGCCATGAATTTAACACACTTTAACCTACGTATAATAATACAGTAATTGTTAAAAGTGGAGGTGAATGGTGCAGGTTGATGCGCTGCACTGAGAACCTGATGACCTGAGTGTGTTTCCTAACCACGGCGAACAGCAGTAGTGAGTGATACCTTAAACGGCCTTCTGCTTCCTGTTCACAACCCATACTGACCGGCGTGGTGAAATATGGTCAAACAACTGCTGTGACCCATGAAAAAACTGGGGGAGGCCTTCATCTAGAAGTGGACTGACAAAAGGGCTGTGAAACATTCTTTGTATTTTGATTTAAAGCTTTCGTGACTGCAGGGATTCATGTTCTTGGTTCTTTCGGTAAAGTCACGTAGAAAGAACCAAGAATATTATTTGTATTCATTTATAAGGCTATGGAGTAAATCTGAGTCACTTGCACTGATGAACAGGCATGATTAAGGACTTCAAACGTGTTGGGTAAGTGGAATGCTGATTACATGGACAAGTTTAGAGCTATTTTAATCAATCGAGAGTGTTAAGCTGTTGCTTTGTGCAGTGGGTGCATTTTCTGCTTGATTTAATCTGAATTGCTGCTAAATAACAGCGCTTAATATGACAATTTTAGTGGCAACTTACACATAAGCTCAAACACTGCTGCAGTGCAGTAATCCTACAACCGAGATAGTGGAAGAACCCCATTTGAGCCATTTGAAATGTGGCCGAGTTGGCCAATAAGCACTAGAATGGAGTGTAGTCCTCCCCAATTGTGCTGTACCCCTGAACACCAGTGCCGGCTAAAGCTAGTGCGGGGCCTGTAGCATATGTTATGAAGGGGCCCATAATAAAAAAAACACAATATTAAAATACAAATGTTTAACTTGCATAATAAAGCAATTGTATTTTTTCATTTGCTATACATCCACGATAATACGACAAATCGCCAGCCTTAAACACTCAATTTATAAAAAAAAATGTGAAGGCAGTATAGTACTATATTAATAGAGCAAGTGCAGAATCACTGAACAGGGATTGATAGCTTGAAAGCATTTAGTGCGGGGCCCATAGCATATGTAGATACTTTTGCTACTGGCATAATCCGGCACTGCTGAACACCCATATCAAAGCGATGCACACGACGAGAGAGAGGCCTCAATTCCTCGTCGCAATGCGTTCAATACGATCGTTTAACACTACTCTGTGATCCAGTAGTGCAAGCGTCGCGCTGAGCACTGATGTTTGGCTTGTCCTGCCTGAATTCAGATAAGTAATCGTGCGTAGCTTCACATGCAAATTCATTGCGTGCGCCGAAAGTGGGAGGAGGCAGCTAGGGCATTATGGGAGAAGCATTGACCATGAGTTGCTCGGTGAACACTCACCTTTCCGTACGAACCTGCTCATGGAGTGGTACAGGTCAAAAACTGATCAGGGGTATTGTTCGACGAGTAACACAATTTTGGTGAGTGTGCGGACAACCCTTTTGGGTAATGAGATGCACAATATTTAAAACCATGGTAAGGTCAAACGGCACAAGCGGCTGCAAAAAGCGGCCATATGGCTTTCTGTAGCAACAGCTGTGCCCGTGCAAATAGTGCACCACATGTGCATTTTTTCGCGTGTAATTAATCATAATTCGTAATTGTCATTATTCATTTCCGTGGGCGTTTGCAAACAATGCTATTTTGAATTCCCCTCTCCGTACCATAAAATTATGCTATTACAGTACAGCTATGTTTTTGCCACAGAATTGTTAATTTTTTTTAGGAACACTAAAATGTACAATTCTAAATTCCGCACAGCAATATGAATCATTACCCGGACTTCTACACCGGTACGGTTTACCCTAGAATTTGTACGCAAGTCAACAATAAAAGGCTAACCCAAACATTAAAAGAAAATGATTGAAACCACATTTGGACCCATTGAGGGCTGCCGTTATTTTATTAAAATGGATGGAATTTGTAATTTACCGGTAGCTTGCCATCAATTAGAATCGTTTTGCAAGCTTTAATCTACGAGCTAGATGAAATATGCGCGTTGTACAAGTGTGCGTGTTCACAGGACGCAAGTGTACCTACGCATGCTTGCGTGTAAATAAAAGCTGTTCAGAGGTATAGACTCCACACTCGAGTTTTCAGAACATATATGCTCTCACATCAGTGCTTTGTAATGTTATACAATTAAGATAATAGACTCTAGATTCAAAATATGTATCACGTCGGGTTGATGCGATTATATTATGGAATTTTACGTTTTTTGGTGGCTCTTCTAAGATCCTTCTCATACTATACTGTCAAAATATGTGGCGATCCATTTATAGACACCCCACCAAAATAACGTGGATAAGTCAAAAATACTTTCAAAGCCACTCCATCCCCACAAATTATCATTCACTCACATATTTTAAAAGATTGGCCAGTTAGGGACCTAACATTTTGATTTAAAGCTTTCGTGACTGCAGTAATTCCCTTCAACGTGACTTTACCGAAAAAGCTAAGAATATGAGTTAGGGACCTATTTACATTTGACACAGGCTTCCGGGACAGCGTACAATGAACGTTCAACACGGTGGCACCATTATGCATTTTATTAGCCACTGTTTCTAGAAGGCCCACCACAGTGAAATTAATGCTTGATCGTTTTCATTGATCACATCATTAACTGCCCTCTGTACCTGATGGGTTTTAGTTTGAGAAATCAAGGCTCTTGTTGCTGTACTTTGTGGAATTTTAATTGAGGTCCGGTGTGTGTGTTGGTATGCACACACGTATGTGTGTGTGTACGCGAGCATCCTGCATGGGGGAGCGGTGGCATAGCGGTTGGCACATTTCACAAAAAAATCTGGTGACCAGAATTCCATTTCTACTCATGGTCAGCATGAGTGGCATATATCGGACCCTCTCCAGGGCCTTCCCTAGCTCGACTTGGCCTTAAATGAGTACCTGGTGTAGTGCGTAAAAACAGGCACTTAGGAAGACAAAGGCAGCTGGGTACGGTGTAGGACACACCACCTCCCTCGTGTGCCACACAGGCCTTAATATGTGCTCACTAACGCACACTCTCCGTCTACCTGTGTAGGGCTACACGAGGGATATTCGTTTTTTTTAATTCACCTTTTTTGTGTGCGTGTGCACACACATTCGTGTGTTTGTTGTCTGCCTTTCCCAGGGACCGAGAGAGCCTTCTAGCGGAGGCCGAGAAGATGGTCCGCGCGCGATTTCAGTTCACCCTGCCCGTGTTGGGCATCTGCAATGAGCCCACGTTCCTGGGCATTGTGATGGAGTACATGCCCAACGGCTCACTTGACACCCTACTTCACCAGGTATTTCATGGTTTTCGATTTCGCTATTTTGAATATTAGATTTTTTTTTATATATATATAGATTTAATAATTTGTATTTTTAAGAGCTATGTTTAACTAGTTGAATACTTTTTAACGTCAATAATTTAATTGAAATAAGCTAAACAAAAATATTGCATTTTTTTAAAGTATGCTTTATTTAAATAGTTTAAGTAAAAGTAGGATCACATAATGGACGTTTTTGCGGGAAATACATGGCCATGTCATATTACAAATGGCATTACTTCCCCAAACGTAATATTTTCAGATCAATCTGAAACATGTACATTTGGATCATCAAAACATGAGTTTCAAGTTCATCTAGAAATAGGGAAATTGTCCTGATGATCTGGCCCCATGCCACTGCCATCGCCATGTGGCAAAAGCAAGAAAAATATATTTTTCCTGGCCTGGTTGTGCTTGGAAAGTGCTGGAGTCCACATGACCTGACCAGGATCACAAGCGTAACAGAAGGCCAGGCTCCCAGCTGCTAAAGTTTTTGTTTTGTCCCTGCCAAAGGAGCTTTCTAACTGCTGCTGTTATTACCACTTCCGTTTCTTTTTTGCTTGGCCCAGAGACGCCGGCAGCCAGCCTCAGACAGCTGGCATGCAGATCGTGTTTCTGTGTCTCGCTGTCCCGCGGGGAGTATTGCTGTGTGGCACAGTGGCCGAGTAAGATGCTCTTGCAAAGCCTGCGTGCGCTGCAGCTCACCATTTCTTGACGATAGTTTCCCTGAATCGCTTCCCGCCTTAGGGGGGCCAAGTGACAAATCCCATGGCTGGTACTTTCGTGCCAATTTGGACCCAAACATTTGTGGAAGCATGGGGACTTATGTCACCTCGGTTCCATTCGTCACCGTTCTCTGTTATACTCCACATGTATGCCTGATGCGTTGCGACAACCTAATGTTTGCCACTTATGACCCGTTCATCGAGGTTTATTCTCATTCTCCCTGTTCTCGTTCGTGAATCGTAAGGGTGTAACAATTAATCGTTTCATATAATTAATGTTTATATCACAATAGGTGCATAGAATTGAGTGTGTGCAAGAATGTTCTTTATTTGTGTTGTGTGTGACGCCTTTGGAAGCTTGAGGTCACAATATTCGCCATGACGTTAAAAAATGTATATATTCTTATATTGATTCAGGACCCTGAATTGTGACATTTCATCGAATTGCTGGGTGTGGAGGGGCATGAGGCGGCATTCAACGAACTAGCATCAATTACGAGGTGTTCTTCTCGACAAACAAAGCGATCTGCACTGGGGGCTTAATGATTAGCGCTCAAATCTTAAGCCCATTCACAAGCCTGCAAACCAGTCGTACAGGTGACGGCCAAAATGTAATTTCCCACCGTACATCGACGTTACAGATCCCGCTGTCACTTGGACGTCCGATTGTGGTTGAAACCTCCCACCTGGAAGACCAATGTCCCCAACACGGCTTAACCAGCGGTAGTGATTGATCACGCAGCGCCTGTGGGTTTTTCTTCTGCCGGGTTGAGTTTATTTATTGGGGGCAGGCTGGCCCCATGAGTCCCAAAAAAGTAGGAATTATTTTATTTGCCTTGTGCAGATTTTGCCTTTTTGCTGTGAGCCCCTGCAATTTAAACAAATATCTGTTCACAGTGCTTGCCTTCAAGGGGTTAATCCCTGCGACTTTTCATTCTTCATTTGAAAGGTTATGACCAGCACTTTTAGGATTTCAGAACAAATAGACTGCGATCCAGATTTCTAGTGCATGCCATTTGTTCACGTGCAGTGCCCAGTGCCATTTAATCATTAAGAACATAATGCAGTTGAACTATGTATGCAATCCAATAGTGAAAATATTGAACGGTTTCTTTTTATGTGACCAATCGTTACTCTTTCATCAGTGTGTACCCTGACTTGTCAGATTGAGTATATGTTCTGTTGACAGAAGTGCAAAATTAACCACGTACAACGATCAGCACTTTCTAATTGAGATAATTGGATAAAGTTAAATTTAGGGTATTTAAAAAAATATGTATCACATGCCTAACGCTGCATCTCTAGTGTGGCATGTGCATATTTGTATAATGGAGGCAAATATGCTGAGCTTGGTGCTACCTATTCCATCTCATAAGTGGTTCTTGCCTTAATAGGTGTTCGCAGACAGTAATTTTCCCCTGAAATCTATAGTGCCCCTTTCCTACTGGCACATCCGAGCCACGCGCCAGCACGCGCCCCTCACCGAACGCGCGTTTTTCTTTTGGCTATTTGTCACCCCGAACCGGAACCAAACCGTGATGATCTGGCCTCACTAGACATACGAATCTAGCTCGGGGCAAAGCAGGGACAGAAGTGGGCCTAGTAACGCTTCATTTCATTGCATGTGACGTCAGCTGGCACGCAACTCAAACACAGCGTCGCCTGCGCACGTCTTTGCTTGTTCGGTGCGCGTGACGTACGGCTCGAACCTTCGCGTTGGAGAAACGACCACGGCTCTTCCCGAGCGACGCCAGGCTGTCCTCAACGAGAAGCACCCCCCACCCCCCCACCCCCCCCCCCCCCCCCCCCCCCCCCAACGCGGCTCGGCTGTGCAAAGTAGAAAAGGGGTTCGAGACAAAATGTACAATTTTACCTTTCCCCGCTGCGCCCGCACAGAAAGCCGTGTACCCAGAGCTGCCGTGGCCGCTGCGCTTGCGCGTGCTGCACGAGGTGGCGCTCGGCGTCAACTTCCTGCACAGCCTCGAGCCGCCGCTGCTACACCGCGACCTCAAGGCGAGCAACGTGCTGCTCGACGAGGAGTTCCACGTCAAGGTGAGTGGGCCCGCCCGCTCCCGTGCGCCTGCCCCGACGTGTTGGTGAGCAAACGCTCAGTGCTCGTGGATTCTTAATTAAAACTGTGAAAAAGTAGGGAGGTGGCTAGGTGGCAGAGAGGTCCGAGCGATGAACCGGCGCCGCTGAGATATCCACGGTTTCAATTCCAGGCAGCTGGCTGTGATTAATCTTGGTTCCCCAGTGTCGTGCGCTTATGGTTTCAGCTTGGTCGTCATTGACTGCACACAAAAATAATAATAATAATAATAACTTGGTTCTGCACTTAATTTGGCTAAATTCCAGCTCTCTGAGAATGAAATGTCAGTAATTGTAATGCAACACACATTACTACCAAATGCAGAGCGGGTGAGAAAGTCCTTCCCTCCACCTTATGGAGCATAGCTCACTTGAAGGGATCACCACAGAGGTAGCTCCATGTGGAGCAGAAGGTTATCTGCTGAATATCGATGTCGAGGCCCACTGTTAGTAGAGCACGCAACGGAGAAATGCAGGTTATCTGTAGTCCAGAGAGACTTATATTTACATCTCAAATGTATTTCAATTATTATTTTACTTCACTCTAGACTCATCAGTTAATTGTGCATTTTTTTTCTTGGCAGCACAGCATTCAGGTCGCTGATCACAATCAGGAGAATTTTCTCGTTGGAAAATTTAAAATAAAGTCTTCAAATGTAGAAACCCTTTCATTTGTCAGTCCACGTAGAAGTCAAATGTGTTTTAGTTTACGAGCCTGTGGGCTTTACAGTCCAATATGATCAAGCACCATTTGTTGAATCCAGCAAACTGTTTAATTATTTTTAATAATGATCATCAGAGACGGAACTGAACAAATCCTGCTGGGTTGCCAGATATTATTGGCAAGAGTACTCCATCTCACCAACTGGGCCCTGATCAGCGAAACTATTCTAAATAACCATGATGGAGTGCTGTGGAGTATTATGGATTATAAATGACACATTAAATTCTCCACTTAAAAATAAAGTATTATTTTCATCTTTCAGCCTCAGGGTTTGCCATATACCAGCATTATCCAGCAGTAGTTGCTTCAGCAAGCAAACTCTGGACCTATTTTGACCATTTGAGTCTCCTCACTAGAAACCTAAAAAGGTATCAGTGTCTCAGAATGGTTTTATATGATGAGACCCAAAATGTTGAAACCAGTCCAGGGTTTATTTGCTTAAACAAAAGTTGCTGGATAATATTGGTCCAGAAAGCTCAGGAGCTCATGGACTAAAAATAAAATATATTTTTTTCTGGATTTGACGATTGGGGCGCAGGTTATTTATTTAATGTTGCACAATGGGCACGTAATTGATTTCCATGAAAAGGACGTTTTTAATGTTCAAGGCAAAATAATAGTTGGCCCAATGCCCTCCCAAGAGGAAATCGAGAGCTGCCTCTCCCGGAGGCCCTTTTTCCAGGATTGGCATGGCCAAGTATTTTTTTTTCTGTGGCACCTTTTACATTTTTTTATCTTTTATACAAACAGAAAAAAAACTCTGTATTCATACCCACACCATTTGATGTAGCTAGGTCCACCAGTGTCCTGGCTGGCTGGAAAAATCTGGCTCCGACAGACTCAGACAAGCTTACTTTCAGGAATCCCCTCGGTTGAGGGCAAGGTGCCACGACGACGGTGGAATTCGGTGGAACCTTCAAAGTTTGCACAAGTGTAAGGCATTTTGCGCAGGAAACCACTGCACATGCGTGTGGGCGTTGGAGAGGCAGTCGGGCACCGGAGGGGTAGGGGTGAGGGTGGTGCGCACTGCTATGGGTGTGTCCACTTGGTAGAACAGCACTCGCCAGGCTTGGCTTTCATCACAAAGGCGCAGTCATATTGGGGGATTTTTTTTGGGTGAAATTACATGCGGGGCAACCCGTTGTCTGATTCCATTCGCGCTCTCCCCCCGGTGGCATTCAACAGTCGAGACGTTTACAGAGCCATGGAGGAAAGAGAAAAAAAATAACGGCTCTTGGGGTCGTAATTGAGTTAATCATTGTATTTATTAGAGGGGCCAATTTGTGCGGCAGCGGGTTAGCAAAACATGCCCGGGACCCGAAGCTGCGCAAACACAGCCACCGCCCGTGCGTCCATATTCCTCTTGGAGGACTACGGTTCAGCGGCCTTGCTGGGAGATCAAAGATATAATCGGCAACCTCTGGATTGCAAATCCAATATTCTCACCATTACAGCAGCACGGGAGCAACCCTTCACCTGGTATAACTGTATTGAATCTGGAGGGCATTTGGCCTTGTTATATTAACAGATAGTAACTTGCAAATACGAAACTCAAAAATAAATATCACCTCATTTTCAACCAGTTAAAGTGATCCTCCAATTCTGTTGCCACCGTATGCGAATGTACACTTATTTACTCACCGTTACAGCATTTTTAACATCGTAATTTCAACACAGAGTGCCACCCGGAGGAGTGTACAGTATGTCGCGTGCGTGGCTGCGTGGGGAGTGGTAGGGGAGCTGTTGGCACGCTGCGCTACGAACCCGGCGGCCTGGGTTCGTGTCTCGCTCACGGCCGACACCAGTGACAAATATTTGATCCAGTGCTGGTACCCTCCCCTAGGTCGACTCAGCCTTAAATGAGTATCTGGTGTGGTCTGTAAACATCGCCACGGGGGGAGACAAAGGTGGTCGGGCTTGGTTGCTGGCCATCCACCCCCTCGTGTACCGTGCCAGCCTTCATAGGTGCGACTCGCTAACAGCACTCGCCCCAACAGTCTTGTTAAGGCTACACGGGGGATCTTTGTCTCGGGCTGCAGTTGGGGGATTTCGGGCTGGCCAAGTGGCGGCAGCTGTCCCTCGCGTGCTCCTCCGTGCACTCCCAGGCGGGCACGGGCACTGTGTTCTACATGCCGCCCGAGGCCTTCGAGATGCACTACCGCCCCTCCATCAAGTACGACGTCTACAGGTCGGTGCGCCGTGCCTGGGACAAAAACTCGCGCTGACAAATGTACCGGCCTGGGTGAGGGGGTGTTTGGTGCACAGTGGTAATGCTAGCGCCTCGCCCAGCGTTAGGGAGGCGGGGAGGGGGGTGACAATGCATTGAATAATTTATATAAATTCCGACGCTCGCCATGCATGCATTGCATCGCGTGCGTAAGGATTGATGTTTTTCGATTTGTACATGTTGTACGTAACGGTTTCACTTTAGTCACGTGGTAACCCCACAGCCAAACCTAAGTTTGCCACGCGGTTCATTGCACCGCAAGGAAGGGAAGACAAATTGTTTCACGTCTAATAATGTATATTTATTTTTCTTTCTTCAGTAATAATGTATATTTATTTTTCTTCAGTAATAATGTACGCGCATAAATTTGCATTGGCAGTCGCCGTTTGACCGCTTTGTCCACAGCAGTCGGAACCCGGCGCGTTTATCGCCGTGTTCATCGAACGCTCGCGTGCTGCTCCCTGGACTTTCGTTTTGACCCTTCCCTTTGATCGTGGTTTCTGTTCCAGTTACGCCATCTTGTCTTGGGAGGTGCTGACACGCCAGCGCTCTTTTGAGGGTGAGTGAGAGTGGGGGTTTCTTTTTTCTTTTTACACAAATTACCCGACAGCTATGTTCCTCTTTAAAACACCTGACCCACATCTCAGCTGACAAATTGACAACGCTTGTAACACAAAGGAGAAGTCCACTTGTGTGTAGGAATAGCCAGATTTGGGCATAGTACAGTGAACCTACAAAGTGTACCATAAAGAAAAGCAATGTCTCCTGTTTTCTTTACTCCTCGGCAACTTTGCATTCCTTCTCAGTGTAATAGTGCATCTTAATCTTCTTCCTGTTATTATCCCCACCCATGTGTGCGTGGTCTGCCTTCCCGGTACTCTTTCACCACGCATGCCTGTTCAGGGCCATCCCCATGTCCACTTCTTAATGCAATTCTACGTAAACCCACATTTCGCGATACCCCGAACAAGTCGAATGTCCGTATTCGGCGAGTGGCATATGTAACCCCCCCCCCCTACACCGTTGCATTTGTCAGATCCACATTTCATAACTGATTTCGTAACAGCCGTGAAGAGGTCACGATCGCTTGAAATGTAATCCAGGAGGAACCTGCTTTCGCAGCTTGCGTTCGCTTGGTGGCATAGTGCAGCTTTACTCTGCGCGTGTGGAGTCCATGATTGTTCACATGGCCCCACTTTCCCGGGGGGGGGGCAGTGGGGGGGGGGGGGGGGCTGTCGACGGTGACTTTTCCAGACGCAGGCTTTTAAAAAATGCTGCCCTTGTTATTGCAGCAAACAAGCAAGAAGGGGCCGCATCAGTAGAAAAGGCGGAATTTTTCCAACCATAACAGGCCACCGCTTTCGGATTTCATATCCCCTACAGCAAACTAATATTCCGCTGCGCAGCGCCAAGTGGGATCTGTCGGTTTTGCAGATGTGGGTTTGAGCAGTGTTACGCAGATGGTAGACGTCAACGCTTTCTCTGAACCGGGCAGTGAAAGTTTACATTTCAGTAGTCACGCTGGTTCGTGGTGTGTCGGACGGTTGGGACCGTGTTCAAAACTGGATGCGTGACAATGATTTTCAACTTGCTAAAGCGCCCTGCTCAGGTATTTGCTCACCATCGAAGATAGAGAGCGACCTCAGACGCAGGGAAACCGCAGCCAGTGTTTATTTAGTCTTTTTACTCAGCTTCTCAAGAGAAGGTACATTCAAACCTTAAGCGTCGTTTAGCTCCTCGGTACGTTTTCAGGTTTGTTCCTCGGTGTTGTTCGAAATGATGTCCAATGAAACGTCCGCGCATCTCCGATGAGCACGGTAGGCTACGTACGATGCGAGAGAAGAGCTTCAACAGGCATACAAACGTCGACAAAAGCATCAGACTTCATGGTGAAAAAAAATAAAAAATAAACACGATGTACAACCCCGAAATCGCATCTGAGAGCGAACTCTACAACACAACCTCCGATTAGAAGTTCAACATAGATACATACAACATAGATACATACAACATACACACATACAACATAGGTACATACAACCGCGAAAAACCTCTGCGTTTGCACAAGCATCGTTGGCTTTTGGATAATTCCGGGCGTACGTGGACTCGTTTTTTAAGACGACGCAAGTTACCGTGACAACGAGAGGCTTGCTCAAGGGCTAGCAGAGCTAATGCAATGGCAAACGTTGCATGTATAGTATGTAACAATTGGAATAATCAAGAGTCTACTGCCCGGTATCAATCCACTGTTGGATAAAGACTCCTCCCCACACACACACATCATGTCGGTCATGGAGGTTGTGTTTTTTTCCACACACTGATCGGTTCGGGTTTGATTAAGTCAGAGCTCCAGGGCCAATGCAGAGTTCACTCTCACTGATGTTTACCCTGTCTGGGAATTTGATCTCATGTCGCCGGTTTCATAGCGTGGTGAGCTGATGACTGCACTGTGAACCGATGCACCCCAGAGCAATCAATGACACGGAACATACATCATTGGCCTAGATGTTTGTTACGACTAGATAAACATTCAAAACATTTTGTACTGTCTGGGGTTGTAACAATTGATTAATGTTCATTTATCAGCTGATGATGATGCATTAATTGAATTGAAAATGTCAGAATCGATGTTTATTTTTTATTCCTAACAGCCATTTTCTATCCATCGTTGGATAAAGTCCTCACATCATTGACATCTTTCGCAGTGCTGCAATGCCACACATCCACCTCGCTCCTGCACATGAGCCCATCTCACCGTTGCGCCTCTACAGTGGTCAACCTCTTGGGCATATTGTCTCCCTTGGCTGCCATCCCATTACCAGTATCGTCTGTCAGCTGTCATCCCTTCTAGCGATGTGTCCTTCCCAAGCCCACTTACTGTTATGAAGAACCAGACCCGTGATGTCTCGTATTTTCTTTCATTCCACGATCCTTGTGTCCCTGCTCCCAGCATGCTTCTCTCACATGCTTCTTGACACACTTTTTTTTATCTATCTTCCCCAACTTCCACAGACCAGCGTGGCGATGTACGGTCATAAACAGCATCGCATTTTGTCAACATGCTGCACGTAATTGGCTCACATGATCCTCCAGCCATTAGCACGCTGCTACGTTCACCACAGTGTTTAAAAGAGATCATTCTTGAGTCAAGATTCTGGTCCTAAAGTTGTGGAAATTCATTGCCGCACCTCCGATTACGTACGGTGCGAAAGACGTTCAACACGCATACATACGAATGGCAGTGGGGGCAAAATAGCTGTGTGTCTTAGATTAATGAGGTTCTTAGGGTTACTTTGTAGGCAGGCTTGGTTAAGCAAACATTGTGTTAGGTAAGGCTCATCATTAAGAATCCCGTGACATGGCCCAAACCCTGGAATGGCAAATACATTTCAGTCCTTGTGGGTATTACATATTTATACATTCGGTTAGGCTGTATCTACAATCAACTGTACACATCACTTCACATATCCCAATGTGCAGCATTTACCTAATTTCCAGATGGTAGTTTATGGGATGAATTTTATCTAGTGATGATTATCCGATTTTTTCCTGCTGTTATCACATAATTTGCAAATTGTTTTCCGTACACATCAACGATAATAAAATAAAACGAGTCGCATTATTTCAGAGTTAGTGTAGAGATTTGTTATTTCCGTACGCATGGGCATTATATCATATTCACAACAGCTACATTACAAATGACCCACAGATTACAGTGACTGAGTGACTGATGTAAATTCTAATGAGTTATAGAAGGGATAAAAATGTGAAATTTGGCATAATTATAGTCGAGTCTGCTTATGAATAGAAGAATAAAATGAATATTGCCCAGTTTGGTTTCACCCTCAGCGCAGGTCACCTTAAACGTATAAATTGCTGTAAATCTCTTGCTAAATACTCACATAACTAGAATGCGCATACATACTTAGATACGTACATAAGTGCATTAATCCAGAACAGGGAAATATTACAAATTTGAGCGATCACTCTTGACTGTTCAGGAAACATAGGCACAGGGCACGCTGTTGGACGGAGATGGAATGGCAGCCAAAGGAGGGAGACATGCTCAAGAGGATGACTGCTGTGGGGATGAAGTGACGGAGTGAGATTGACTGTGGTTTTGCAAGGCCATTATGGACATTTTCATGCAGGATTGGCTAGAAAATGGCTCTTAGGCCCAAAACGATTCACCCCCTCCCAATTCTTGAGTTACGAGAAAACCATTAGCGCCCATTGTGATGCACAGTAGGGCCTAAATTGTCTGCATGGGTCACGTGAATGCAATAATTACAATAAATACAACACATTTAATGCACGTACCATGTTACACCCCTGCTAACTATATACAAAGACACATATCCCCATATATCCATTTCAAGTTGTTAGGGCCAAGTGCTGATAGTGAGCCCTATAAAGGCCTGCTTGGCCCGAGACGGGAGTGGTGTGGCCTGTGTCGCCTCAATGTCGATTGGCTACACACCACACCAGGTACTAATTTAAGTCAACCTAGGCGAGTCTCAGAAACGGTTGATGCATTTGTCACTGATGTTGGCTGCGAGCGTGAATTAAGCTCAGGTCACCGGGTTCCCAGCACCATACGTTAACCGCTATATTATCGCCAAGCTAGCTTTGCTATTTTGAGCACACACCCCCCCCGCCCGCCCCTCCAACCGTACCCACACGAACACCCCCTCGAGCTATAAGAACACAATCTCCTGTATAAGAACAATTTCTACCCCGTGGTTATAAGCACACCTGGCTTATAAGAGTGATTGAGCGCAATGGGGAACAAAATGTTGCAGCGAAATGTTTGCAACCCATGCAACAAGGGTGCATGCATCACCGCGCACAGCGACCGTTCTTTCACTGCAATGGCACATGGAAAGTGACGACACCTGTAGTCAAGGTGAACAGTGCTCGGTGGACTCCCATCAAATACACACGGACTGAGCGCAACTCTGCTGCTGTCTGCACAGCAGAGCAATGCTACCACATACAGGAAAACATTTACCATTGCAACGTGGTTTCACAACACTGAATCGAGAAGCACACTGGCACCTTCCTAATTGTTTGTGTTGCCGTTTTTAAATAGTTACCTAATGCACAGACGGAGAATAATAGACCTTACTTTGTGCGGCCGCGGCTACGATCACCAAACTATGGACCACAAAACTTCCACATTGTCCCGAATATAAATTAGAAGGCGGTGCAGCTACAATTTACCAACCCTCAGACTAAGCAATTGGATGGCTAAATCACTTAGAACTGAATTTCCATTCGTTGCTCTTCATTGGCCATACGAAATCATTATTCAAAACAAATTGTAAAAATGTAATCATAAAGGCACAAATGCAGTTTACTGAAGTATACACTTTATTGTGGGGTGGAGTGGTGACGCAGTGGTTAATTTAGTGCGCTGTGAACACAGTGACTTGAGTTTAAATCTCAGTCACAGTGGCGAATTCTAAGTGAACTGGTTTTTGGGCATGCCCAAGGCTGACTTAACCTTCAGTGGGTACCTGGTGCAGTGTGTAAACATCAGCGTTGGAGACAAAGGCCGCAAGGCATGGTGCTGGCCACACAGCCCACTCATTAGTCATACACCATTCTTAATAGTTGCTCACTAGCAGCACTTGCCCCAACAGCCTGTTATCATATTCTCTGGATTAAAGGGAGCTTTAGAAAGTAATCTGCAAACTAAAATTGTGGGGTCATTTTGAATATAAGTTTGCTGTAGGGGATAAGTGTGTTTTATAATGGGGCGAATATGGTAATATGTAGAGCCGTATTCCAGAAGATGATTATGAATGTGCCGCTTTAAAATTGGGGGACATTTGCTTTCCAGACTGCAAGACGCACACCCAAATTTAGCTTTAAATATACGAGAGGGGTTGAGGGGAAGAAAAAAAACGACGCCTCATAATCTGGAGAAATGTGAGACGCAGTAAAGGCTGCACCGTCGTCTTTGCGCTCAACCCCACCATTCTGTTCCCCCAGACGCCGTGGACTCGACGCAGGTGATATTCAGCGTCTTCCGGGGCAACCGCCCTTCCACGTCCGAGAGCGCGCTGCCCCTGTCCACGCCGCACCGCGCCCCGCTGCTCGCACTCGTGCAGAGGTGCTGGGCGCAGGACCCCGAGCAGAGGCCCTCCTTCCACGGTGCGGGCGCCCACGACAGTGCCCGCGCGGCCTGTCCCGTCGCGGTCTGGCACCTACTTACCGCCTGCACTTTTCCCACCTGCTAGCCGCCGCTCACTTATAACAGCAGCTTAATGTTTCGTGACATATCCCATAGCGTACCGAATGTCTCGGAGCGCAAATATATTAAATGATAGATGGAAGGGAACCGGGTGTTCACTGGGCATGTAGGTATGTATGTTGAACTTATATCGCCAACCATGCTAATTCGAGGCGTGGGGGTAGGACAACCAAACACAAAAATCAGTTCTCAAGAAATTAATTTTCAATCAAGATTTAAAAGTGCTATAGCTCTCCTGGCTTTCTAATATCGTAACGACACTCCAATTAATCAGATTACAATACAATATTTCCATCTCACAATCCACGTGTTAAATAATGTGTGCCAGAATCGATGACTGTTTTTTGATGCATCGATTGGCTTAAAAAAAACGCAAATGCACTTAACTATACTGTACATTTTCTTGTAAATGTAGCAGTGGCATGCACTGTACTATGATTCCGCCAAATGAGTTTTGATTCCTGGCCAGGGCTAACATGAGTGGTGATTTCTGAACTGGTCCAGGCTAACCCCTGACCCCCTACCCCAACTTCACCTTCACCAACCAACACTGACCAGCGTGAGAAAGTGTGGTGAAATAACTCACATGACCGACATGGCTTGAGGAGGTCTTCATCTGTACATTTACAAGTTATATGTGCCAATAGAGGTGCTAGATTTACATGCAACATTAACAAAGTAATCCATTCTTGAACTGATTCACGATGCCGAATCTTGACAAATTAATTGAATTGGAAGGGTCTGATTTTCTCAGGAATTGTATTCACACATTATTAATGATCAGCCCTCACTTGTACCATTTTGCACCACACATGATAACATTGCAGCACGAGAATATTATTTGTCATCCATCCGTATGCTCATGGTTTAATTGTGTGATTGATGTTTTTGTTGCCTAGAATGCAGCACAGAAATGGAGAAGCTCCTAAGAGGCTATCAACCACGTGACTTGGCTATCGCCATTGTGCAGCTCGTGGAGCACAAGGTTGGCTTACTGGATGTTTTTTTTCCCCAAAATAGAAAAGTAATTCAGATGTTTCAGGTTTCCAACGATTATATGCGCAAATTCACTGATGTAATGTGCATTTGACTGGTGCAGCGTATTAGGGTACCAATGTTTGGAATACATTAATAAGTTCTTGACATTTATATGTATGATGGTCACATCACCAGGAATGCTTATTTAAGGGCTCCTGCTAGAGGTAGCCCCAAACAATACCTAATTAAAAACAAAAATTATAATGCATTGGCAGTAGTGTACAAACACAATAAACATAAAAAAAACTCAACACGATCGTCAATAACTCTGCCTGAAAAGTAACGGTGTATAATCAGTGACCCTTCAGGTAATGGCCCCTCTTCATAGCACGTGACCTTATGGAGAATATGGCCACTATGCTGCACGAGTATACGTGCCTTATTTTGATCTTTTGTAAAAGCCTCGTTGGCCTAACAAGAGTTAATGCGTGCTTCTGTCGCTACACTGGAGACGCAACGGTTCGTTTTATGTCGTTCTTCTTATTCGCGTTGCCGTTGTCAGGAGAACGCAGAGCGGAGTTTTCTGCTATCTCCTCACGATGGAAAAAGTCTAGTTTCAGCGGTTGACAACCTGGAACTGTCATCCAACCTGTTCACGGTACAGTGCTACATCACCACCTGCCTGTCCTTCCACCACCGTAGTTTGTATTTGAGGCCCCTGTTGGGAAGTGTAAGAACAGGGGAATGAAAAGAGTTAAGGCGCAACCCTGCAATTACTTGCTCGTGGCACTGGTGCTGGAAGGGCCTCCGTTAGAACGAGCTCGAAAATGGGTAACTGGCCAACTCTTCCATGCTGGCGAGATGTCCTGGTAGAGGTAGAAATACCCACACTTGTGACCCCACCACAAGTGACCTACCAATGAACTAACAGTGGTCTACCGATTTACATTGCTGCTTGGACATTTAAGAAATTTACCACGTTGTTTCAACTGCCGTGCAAGGAGATCAAGCCAGTGACCTCTATATTGTAAGGCCAGTGTGCTACTAACGACACCACTTCAGCATCTGGTGGTGCAATGACAAAAGTGAAGAAATCATCATAGCAATAATGCCTTTTATTTATCCAGTAAAACCTCACCGAGTCCTAAGGGATTCTGCATTGAGATGTTTGGCCAGTGCTATTTATTAGTGTTTGGCATGTTGGAGCAATCCAGAGTACCCAAATCCGTGCAAGCAAGGCGATAACACTTTTAGCTGCATTCAAAAATAAATGAATCCATTGCTGTACTGCCAATCTTCTGCTCACTTGGCTGTCCAACCTCCCAGACAGTCTCCCATCTAATTTATAATGAAGCACCTAATTTATTTAAAAATGTTCTTTGTTCTTTCATGTTATTCAGATGACACAAGATGCACAGCCCAACAATACCCACGGTAGCCAGCCCCAATCCTCATATGTGCAGCAGGACCGCGCACTGGCGTGTGGTACGTCCTACCATTCCTACTCCTGCTGGTTTCAACGTTACATGGACATTTTACATTTGGTGTAATAAAAAAACTATATATATAGAATGTGCAGTAAGTCCTTTGTCCTTTGTATATTTGATGTCTATTTCCAGATGAAGTCAAATTCAACATTCTCAGCTCATCTCGTTGCTGTCCCAGCATCCCTCCTTCTCTGGACGGACACGAGAACATCGGGTGCAGATCAGTGGCAGGGGAGATGTCAATGCCAAGGGTCGGTATCGGAGCCGTGCCTCGGTCCACTCCAGGGTGCAGCCCAGTGACCGAGTTGAGGTCTCCAACTCCCAGGACGTGTGTCCTGCAAGACCCAAAGTCTGCCCCTGGGATACTGGAAGCCGGCAAGGAGGCGGCCAGTGGACAAGGATGCAGTACGGATCTGCGTATACAAAGTTGCCCGATGCCACGTCCACTCACGGCCAGCATAAGTTTGTCACGCACGCACGCACGCATGCATACCAGCCTGCCTTCGCGAATGACAATATGATCGTTCATTATAATAATGTCAATAGATAATAAAGCGTAAAGATGCCACCCCTCAATTGCTCGCTCACACTGGTCAAAGGGCCTCTGCTAGAAGGAGCACTTGGGAGCCATGCGACTCGATACTTATTCACATTAAGTTCGTGAAAAATGTCTCACAGAGAAGTATTGTTCAAGTAAATGTGTAAGGGGTTAACATTATATGTACCGAATACATATTTTATTCATATGTGGTCGATTTCACAGAAACAATTACAAGAACAATGCACTCGGGTTTGCATTTAGACGTGACAATAACATTAGAATATACGTATTACGTAAAGCTTCTGTATGAGAACATTTATACTCTTAAACCACCCAAAATCCAAATAATGTGCAAGTAATTTTTTTATCCTGTTTTGAGCTCTATGCTGTAATTCCATTATGATGGATTTTGCCGATGCATACAGAGTATCTTCATAAAGAGCATTATGACACATTGTGAAAAAAAGTGTAAAAAATTGGACATTGTTAATACATTCCAGGAACACGAATGAAGAAGCAATTTAATTTCGGCACAGAAGTGTGAACAATGGAGCAAGTTTCTTGAATCCCAACCAGTATAAATGGGTTACATCACAATTAGACGATCAGCAGGGGGTAGGGCAAAGTGTGGGTACTCTCACCTCTTCCACTGCCACCTCTTTCGGGGGTCCCTCGAGCCCTGTAGTGGAAGCCCTTCCGTCAGCATGGAATGAGCAAGCAATTGCAGGGCTGCACATTTTGTCCCCGAAAATGGTACGTACAAATTATCTTGCGGGCTTTGACGACGTCGTAACCACACCCCCTTTGCGAGCTGCTTGTGAACAGGGGCCGTTTACCGTCTCTTCCGACAGGCATGGCCGACATGAACAAGGCAAAGGAGGAGGCGGCGGAGGAGGAGAAGATCAGCAACAACGCAAGCACCGCGGGGCCTGGGAGCAACGCGTGGCAGGGCACGGGCGCAGGCGCGGGTGTGATGCCGTACCAGACGGCTCGCATGGCACGGGGCCTAAGTGGCGAGACGGAGTCCCTGCCCGTGCCCATCAGTGAGGAGGCACAGCAGCAGCAGCAGCAGCTCAGTGGATGCTACTCGATGTCAGTCCAAGACATGGGTGAGTGCCAGCCTGAGCGCGCGCTCAAAGCGACCGTGCTCCTGGAAACAAAACCCAAGAAAGAAAAGGGTCGCTCAGCGATGCATTTTTTTTCGATTGGTTGCTCTATGCCTGAGATGACGATGTTAAAAAGCTGACGGCGATTGTGGCCAAAGTTGTGACTGGGTTTTCGCTCTCTGCTCGCAAGTAGCAAACATCTTTGGCAAATGTTCCACGGGTATATCCATCCTGTTTTCCAAATGCCCTTTGACTTAAACACACTCATTTTCATCAAGTGAATTGGAAACCCCCTGTATGTGTTACATATTTTTACGTATCCCCCCCTCTCGCCTCTTTGCAGTGCCTTTACCGGAGGTGTGCGAGTGGGTCATGCAAAGACGGGACTTGATCATCCAGCAGATGACAGAGGCTTGCCTCAACCAAATTTTGGACTCCCTCGTGGCACGCAACCTCATCATGCGGGAGGACTACGAGTCCGTGTTGACGCAGCCAACTCGCACGGCCAAGGTTCGCCGTCTCCTGGACACCTACAGCCCCTCCTTGCCCACGCAAGAGCCCGTCGCCAACATCATTGTACACAAGCTTCTCTTGAACAAGCAGATGGGACTCAAGCCCTTCCCCACTTTGCCCAGCTAGGACCGTACTCCTGCTTCAACAGACATTTTCCTCTTCACCTCGAATTAGCACGGTTGGCTACGTACGGTGCGAAAGAAGTTTAACATGCACACATTCACACAGCGACATGGCCGAGCGGTGACGCATTTGCCGCTTGTTGCAGGGAGTTTGCAATTCGAACCCAACGGTTGCCCTGGTTATTTCACTACTGCGGTGAAGTACGGTAAAAAACAATTCCCATGCATGACACAACATAGGCAGGCCTGCATCCTGAGTGGATTGACAAAGGGTTCTAAATTATTATGTTGATGTTCCCACGGTTATGATCGTTATCGCAATGGCTGTTGTAATAATGTACGATGTTTAACGTTATTGTTTTGATCACCATTAGATAACACTTTAAAATTATCTCAGCTTTACATAGGCTTTCGCGACCAATATTCATAATAAAGGTTTTTGGGTTAGATCGCGTTATTTATAAATGTGTCGCAACCCTCCACCACCCGACAGGGCCAATACGTAAAAAATGTATCACGTTGACAAAAGACAAATAATTCACTACTTTAGCCCACCGGTGTGTTGAGTGAATCCACAACATTTACAATTTTTGAGCACGACGTTTCACTGGTAATTACATCCAGCATCATCGGGCAATTCGCCAGAATAGTGAAGCCCTCCACCTGCTCCCGGTCTTAAATAGAGCAGCAGGGTGACGTCATCATTTAACCCAATCAGGTGCAGAGATCAGAGGCGGAGGGGGGGTATTGTAATAATAAAATATATTAGTAATCAAATTTTGATTTAAAGCTTTCATGACTGCAGGGATTCATATTATTGGTTCTTTCGGTAAAGTCACGTGAATAATATATTAGTAATCAGTTAATTGTTATGATTAGTAATCAGTTTTAGATTAGTAATTAGTTGTAATCTGTATTATTTAATAACTGAACCCAAATACTATACCCAATCATGTGCAGAAATCAGAAGTGGGGTAAAGTAGTGAACTATTTGTATTTTGTCAACGTAACACATTTTTTACTCATAACAAACTGACATTTTTTACTGATTGGCCGTGTCGGGTGGTGGAGGGTTGCGACACATTTATAAATAACACGATCTAACCCAAAAACCTTTACTATGAAGTATCTTTTATATTTTCAGAATTTGCTTTTCCATCTGGTATTCGGTGACCTCTTCTATCCCCTCATCAATGGTCAAGAGGTAGGCTGTGAGATTATTGGAGTTTTAACTGATCACCTTATCCATAACAAAGCAATGGTTTCGGCATGACATGAAACATTGGAAATAATTCGAATTGTGTGTGTTTATAATGGGAACTGGACTAAGACAAACATCCTCAGATATCATTCGGAAAATACAATTGTGCCAGGTAGGACATGCGTGCAGGATGGGTGAGGTTCCGATTGTCAAGACATACATTGGAGTTGGTCTCCACGAATCTGGCAACTAAGGGGAAGACCTAAGATACTGTTAAGGCACATCTTGGGAGATTACAATATGTATTGTCCAGCAGATGCACGATCTGGCGCAGGGTAGAAAACCTTGGCAGTGACATGCGGTGGCATCATTGGCTTTGGTTATGGTGACATCGTGATCTTTGATCTTGGTTGAATATTGCCAGATATTACCTTAAATTTTGATTTAAAGCTTTCGTGACTGCAGGGATTCATATTCTTGGTTCTTTCGGTAAAGTCACGTAGAAGGGAAACAATAAAATAATAAAAATATAAAACAATACAATTCTCACGACGTTTCGACTGCAATCATCATCCCTTCTACGTGACTTTACCGAAAGAACCAAGAATAGATATTATCTTGTTTTATGCTATTTTAATTGTTTCCTGCAGCATCCCCTTGAAATATTGTATACCACTCCACTTTGCCTAGGATATATTTAATTGCAAAGCAGTGAAGATGCTATGTGTACTTTTTTTTAAAGGTAAAATTCTTAAATAATATATTCTTAAATAATATATTATTTTTCTCCAGAATTGCATTTCATTCCAAGTTACATTTTAAGAGAAGTTTTTTTTACACGTTGAGGATTTGCCAGACTGGTCATGCAATACTTTTTCAGAGTAAATTTCTGTCTTTAGCCGTTTTGTAAACACTAAAAGGATTTGTCATTTCGTAGTTTTCATTTGGGTGTTGTTATAAGCATGGTTGGAGTTCATATTTTTTGCTAATCTGTATTTTATATTTTTTGCTAATCTGTATTTTATTTAAAAAAACATTCTCTAAACTGAATTAAACAGGAAATAGCGATTTTTATCATCGCGGTGTTTGTAAGTAGCACTTCCCAGTTCTTGTAATGTGTAGCAAAAGTTATTTTTTTTAAATGCTTCGCTATCTCGGCAAGAGCAATTTGCAGCTTACGAGTGCTACAAGTTTACCAGTAATGTCTGCAGAATATTAATAACCACAATTCTCGCATTTATGTGCTAATCTCTTCAGCTCATTTAAACGTGTCATGTTATCGTCCATGAACGTGGACGTATTTGCAGAAGTTGAAGCTCACCATTTCCACATTCACGTTGCAAAGACGTCGCAAGCATCGCGAGAGATGGTGGCGAATTGTGCATGCCTTCATCCAGCAACAGATTGACCATGTCTTCGGATAATAATATGTCAGTCTGTGAAATAACACGTATTGTGACAGGCAGCCAGTAAAAATAATTTCTGGGATATTGCTGCTGAGTTTAGACCTGCAGTAAGCGCTCGGCATGTAACGCTGGGTCTGTTAGATTCACATACTTTATCCTCACAATACGAGACGTCGAATCGTGCGTGTGAGAATCAATTTACAACTTATGGACGGTTGAATTTTTTTTACAGTGAACAAAACTGCGAAATAGAGATTTAATTTTGTTAATTTTAGCAAGAAAATCCAAACGGGATGGTAATGAGGCAAAACGACTCTCTCTGATTGCATCCCCAAACTTTGAATACGTTAACATAAAATATTTTCAGCAGGTGTATGTTGTGTTATTCTTGCCTTATCCCCCTGCAGGTGTGTGGGTGGGGAATGTAGAAAAATGTTGTGGTGCATAATGAGTGGGCCCTCCTTTTTGGTATTTATTTTTGCTCAGCAATTGTCATTGACGTGGCCTTGCTGCGATTGTTACACCAGGAGGCCCCAAAGTGTGGCCCACGTATGGGATATACGGGACTGTGTCTTTTATTAAAATGTTAAACACATTTGTGCATCTTTGTCCTGAGTTGGTTGTTTATTTAGTCAAGATAAAATTCGATTGAAATGGTTGCAATTTTGCAAGGAATATGGTGAAAAATAGGTAATGGTGCATCAATTAGTCGCTTAATGTTAAGGTCTAATGGTGCATGTATCATTTTGCTTGTTTACAAATATTTTTTCAATGTATGCAAATTTATGTTTTTCAACATTTATATGCATTCATTGTTTCAGTAAAAATTTTAAAAACACTGGATTTTTACGTGCATAACTTTAGCGAAAATGTTTATCCTGTATCCAAAAAATATTCACCCTCTCAGATTTGCTGGGGACAGTCATAATAACAGCTGATGAAAATACATTTCAGAAATTACAGTTAAAACTTAAAGATGGGTGCAAAGTGAGACTCAAGATAAATTTGATCAAAGCAAGTCACATTCAATACGTTCAATGGAAGATAGAAGATATGTTGGAGGGATAAATGGAAAACAGTATGTATACGTAGCGAAATCCCTGCGACTGTGTATGTGTAGTGACTGACTTGGAGACGCAAGTTCTTGGAGGCAGTTCTTTCATTAACTCGAGCACCCTTTGCACAATAAACACCCTACGCTGGTACACACCCTTCCCTCTCTTAAAACACAACTCTACGTAAGTTGCTAGCCTATACCAAGACCGTAGCCATGGAGTCAACATTGGGGGGGACCAAATCTTCCAGGGGGTATTTTTAAACAATTTCCTGCCATTTCCTGTCTAAAATATAATAAAATTCACTTACACATAGATGGACTTTTTATTAATTTTTTACAATAATGTCTAATAGTGTATATTGTATTACATTGCTTTGTTTTTTACCTTTTCTTGTTTCATTGTATGTAATGGCAGAGGTTATGGATTAATAAAGTACAGTACAACCATAACCACAATCTATTTTATAGCAATATATTGGGGGGGGGGGTCATTTTGAGCATATTTGAATATTGGGGGGGATGTATTATAATTATGGCCTTGGCCTATACACAACACTAGCCGTCTGACACTGATGTCGCTGAACCGAGACAGCCAACTACACTCTAGCAGCGCAATATCAGGTGAAGACAACAGCGATGAAGGCGACGATACTACAGCGACGATGTCGACGATCTTCAATAGCAATGACGGGGATCCCACTCCAAACGAGAGCCCCGAGGTCCCCTCCCGGGGCGCCTCTTATACTGGGGGGCGTGGCCCGGCTCCGCCCCGGCCACGCCCCCCTTCTGGAACCTACTAGCGGGCTCTCGATGTGTCCCTTCAGTAACCTTTCCCCTACATCCCACTCTGGTCTATCACGTGCCCTGCTGTCAGGGCTCCTGCAAGCTGCAGATCCCCTTCCCTGCCAGCAGCCAGCGCTCTGCTGCTACGTGACCGATTATATCTCACTACATATGTATGTTGAACTTCTTTCGCGCCGTACGTTGTCAACCGTGCTAATTCGAGGTGAGGAGGAAAATGTCTGTTGAATCAGGAGCATGGTCCTGTATATGTAGCGCAGTTATTGATTGGAATTACATTTATTAAAGCAAAGCCCAGGTTGGAATGCTTTTGTAAAACTTAACTTTTCAATAAAAAGCAACATACCAGGGTGCTTATGAAGAAACGTTGAGTATCGTTTATATCTGCTATGAAATGTAGATCATATAGAGTACATGGATATCGACGAATATATCTGGTACTTGGTCATGACTGGAATTAGAGGAACACGATGATTGTGATTCGAGAATGTACACAAGTTCGAGACATTTTGACTTAAGAGTGGACTTGGGCAAGATACATCACTAAAAAATCATTGCTGGTGGTTAAGACTTTATTATTACACCTGCTTACCCATGGAAGTCTCTTGACTTTTTCAGGAGGGTCCTGCCAAGTTGTTGCAGTTGGGGGCGATTATTACTATACAGTAGGTATAAATATATCAATTGAGTAATTTAAGGAATTTTTTTTATTTGGACCGTGAGGTCGGCACACAATGACCTTACTCTTACGAATGATATTGTGGGATCTTTAACGTCCGCTGTCTAGCAGACGACGCGTGTTTGTACGGCTGATGCATCCGCAGCAATAACCAGGGCGGCTGCGGGGTTTCGAACCGTGAAACCTCTGAGCGGCGTGCGGGTTACCACTGGACCAGGTCACCGCGACTCGTGCCACGAGTGGCAGCGTAGCAGCCAAGGGACGGAACGCGTTCGAAGGACGTCGACCCTAGAGATGGATCGGCGAGATCAGCCAGTGTGTCCAGGTGCAAGGCTGCGTTGGCTGGGTAAATGTGAACATAAATGTGTATTTTTGGTTCTTTGGGTAAACTTAAACGTGTTTAACGATACATTCCTACTTACGCGATCTAACCGCCCCCCCCCCAAAAAAAAAAATAACCTCTGTTATGGATAATATTGGTCGTGAAAGCCTGCTGCGTGTTACACTTCTTTATTATTGCGGCATATATACATTTCAATTCGGCAAAAGAGAGTGGCTCCCGTTGTGGCGGTTAAATTCTGACTTAAAACTTTCTCGACCGCAGGAATTATTTTTTCTATGTTTTTTTCTTTCGGTAAAGTCACGTAGATTGAAAATAAAAAATACATAAACTTTACAAAAAATTTTTAATTTTATTTTCTATCTATTTTATTTCCTATCTACGTTACTTCACAGAACGAACCAAAGAATAAGAGTGGTTACTGGTTCGGTGACTTATTCTCACCACGATCTGGATTTTGATTTAAAGCTTTCGTGACTGCAGTAATCATTCATATTCTTAGCTCTTTCGGTAAAGTCACGTTGAAGGGAAGCAATGAAATAATGAAATATATATAAAACAATAAAAAAATTCTCACGACGTTTCGACCATAACACAAACGGTCGTCATCAGGTGTGTCGGTCTGCATTAATTTATTTCTTTTATTACTTTATTGTTTCCCTTCAACGTGACTTTACCGAAAGAGCTAAGAACACGTTCTGGATGTTTCTCTACCGCTTCCGGAAGGCCTCTACCGAGCGGATAAACAACAACAACAAAAACGACACGGAGGAGGAGGAGGAAGAAGAAGAAGAATCTTGATTTGAAGCTTTCGTGACTGCAGGAATCCGTCCATACTCTTTGGTTCTTTCGGTAAAGTCACGTAACATGTAGACACAATAGTAGGAGAAGAAGCAGAGTAATAAAAAACGAAACCCTCCGCCTGCTGGCGTAAAGTCTTCGGGAAGACGCTGCCGGCCAAGTCGAAAGTTGTCCCGACTCGGCCTTCAAAAGGGAGGGTAACGTTGGCGCTCGCTTAACGTTACACGCACGTGCGATTGTTAAAGATGTCACGGCTATATGTGTACATTGGTGGGAAACGAACGAGAAGTTGGAATCTACGATTGACAGATTTGCAGTGGTGGTGGTGGCTCCGGCGGAGTCTGCCTTGTCGAACTGTACTGGTCCTCGGTCTGGGAACGTGGAGTGTGTCTCCTTGCAAACGTATCGCGCACGCAGCGTGCTGTGGCCAACCGGGCACCGTTGCGATTCCATAAAGTTGCCCTTTTAAAACATTTTGTTTATCCAATTCACTTGCAATGTAGGGTACTGAGTGGGGGAGGGGGACGGGGAGCGGTGGCGCAGTGGTTAGCGCGCTCGACTGTGCACGCGGTCTCGTCGTCGGTATGGAAAGTGAATATCCCAGCGTGACCTGGACACGCCACCTCGATACTGACCCGCGTGGCGAAGTACGGTCGAGACAACCACCCAGGGCGACAGGGCGTGTGGAGGGCCCTCATCCAGCAGCGGATTTAAGAAAGAAGGGGTTTTGGGCGCTTGGATGTAGACACACACACGCGCGGGCGACGTTTAAAAGTAACTTCTCGTGTGAGTTTCACCTGAAACTTTAGACCACCTACCCCCCACACACACCTACCCCCACACAAGAGAGACGCAGCAGTAGTCCCCGCTATACGTCGGGGGTGGAGGAGGAGGAGGGGGGGATGCGTTCCTGACGCAATATTCCAAACGACGTGAAATCAAAGCGGCGATTTACGGGGGTAAGTAAGTAGGTGGTGGTGGTGGATATCGAGAGAGGAGGAGGGCACGATGGATACTGCTTGTCAGCGACGTAAGTGTGGGGGTCTGGGCGACGCTAAACAAAAAAATCGAAGTGTTAATGAAGTGACGACGTAATGTGGGGGGGGGGGGAGACGCGAATCGGGGTTTATTTACCCTAATTGGTTTTGTTCCCGGAGAAATTGGCGGCACTCACCATCTGGACTTTTAACAGCTGTGTAAGGAGACCTAAGCTGTATACTTACCCGGCTTCGCCCGGGACTTGGATCCACCATGCGCGGCCGCCTTTGTCTCCCCAGTGGGCGATGTTCACCACACACCGCAGCAGTTACTCGTTTGAGGCTGAGTCGACCTAGGGGAGGCCCAGGACCGGTTAAAATTAATCGTAACCGGTAGTGGCCGTGAGCGAGAATCGAACTCGGGTCGCCGGGTTCGTAGCGCAGTGCGATAACTGCTACACTACCGCTCCACACACACAGACACACACAGACACACACACAGACACACATACAGACACACAGACACACACACAGACACACACAGACACACACACATAGACACAGACAGACACACACACAGACACACACACAGACACACAGACAGCGCGCTAACCACTACACTACAATGCGTTACGCTTCCACGTGCGCGGGTCACGTGACAGATGTGACGTCACAGCTCACTTGGCGTGCAATAAAAATAAATGCATTATTGAGCTCCCCCCCCCCTAAAAAAAGTGTATTTTTATAAATTTTGCATGGTGTACAGTCTGCAAAGTACCCACATGGCAAATTTCCAGTTTGTTGCATGTCGGGAAGTACGCTAAACATTTTGAACAGACACACATATTCACAACTTTGCCTTTTATACATATATGGAGATGGGATAGTGGCCAAGATGGAGTGATTATTGTGTGAAGCGTGTGACCCGCTGATGTGCACGGGGCTTCGCCCGGTACCGTAGCATCCCACAAGCCACCGAGTCTGGGGTTGCTGGCCTCCTGAACATGAGTCCTGAGAATGATTGAGGCTCTCCTACCTACAGTGAGTAATTGGCGTTTATAAATGTCACATTATTGCAAGGGTCGAGCTAAGATCAATGCATTTTCAACTTCGGTACCTACAGGAAATAAAGTAAGCCTATTATTTTTATTTACATTTTATTAAATGGGGCTTCACTGTTGTGCTGCATAGCTTCTCTTGATGTGTTTACTGGTTGTACTTCGTGTTTTTCGAGATGTCCAAAACTTTGCGTGACGTGCCCAGAGCTTCAGCAACTGCACAGTCTTAATTACATAATGTGAACTGCCCCATTCAGTTCCTGAAGGAGCTTCCAGCACGTGGAGCAAAACGTCGGACGTCATGCCGAACAACACACGCGTTACAACCCCAAAACCACATCGGAGAGCTATTTACGTCTTGTTCAAGAGCGGTTTGTGGACATATGTGCCTGTTCTCAAACTGCACTGATAACGGCGTGGATGCTGTCCCTCAGGCTGCCGATGGCATGGTACGTGGGGGTGGACGTTGGCACTGCGAGCGTGCGGGCCGGCCTGGTCGATCGCGACGGCATGGTGCACGCATGGGCCTCAGAGGAGATACGCGTCCATCAGCCGCAGGCTGGCCGCTATGAGCAAGACTCGCAGGACGTGTGGCGGGCGTGTTGTCACGTCGTCAGGGTAACCGCTGCACCCGAACATCTTCCATCGTTTTGATTTAAAGCTTTCGTGACTGCAGGGAATCATGTTCTTGTTTTTTTTCGGTAAAGTCACGTAGAAGGGAAACAATAAAATAATAAAAATATAAAACAATTAAATTCTCACGACGTTTCGACTGCAACACAAGCAATCATCATCAGGTGTGCTGCGGTTTTCACACCTGATGATGATTGCTTGTGTTGCAGTCGAAACGTCGTGATAATTTTATTGTTTTCTATTTTTATTATTTTATTGTTTCCCTTCTACGTGACTTTACCGAAAGATCCAAGAATATCTTCCATCGTGTCAAGGTCTCTCCAAGCCATCGCCATCTCTCATGGTCTTGCAATGCAACACTCTGTTTAGCTTCTACACCGGTGCCGTTTTCAACACTCCATTTGATATCCCATTGGGATTGTTCCCCTCCTTCGGTTGCTACTCTGTAATTAGTCATGCGCGTGCCTGAAAAGTTAAGTTTAATGTACAACGAATGTATACTCTTTGGTTCTATTCGGTAAAGTCATGTAGGTAAAACTTTAACAAGTTAGCCGTAAATGTTGACAACTCTCCAGCACTATTCCAAGTCCAAGTGGAAGACTTACTTTTATAGAAGTGTGTGTTCAATCGCACACTTAGAAACATGCCTGCCTTTTTAGGTGGTCCCCGTAATGGACATGTCCTCTTACTTTGTGCAACGTCTTGAGTTGCAGATACCTTTACACTCTCAAACAAATGTGAATAGTCTTGTATACCCAGCTGTGCCAGGGTTATTTAGCTGTGCAAGGGTTGGTTGCTTTGTAAACCCCTTTCCAAAATACATGATATCGCACATTACTATTTGTCTGTAACATCTGCAATGGTGTAGGCTGTTTAATATTCAGTACTCCATTTTGCACAGGTGTGATGTAGACAAATCTGAACAATTGAACAGAGCTGTGGTTTTGGTCATATTGGTTGGGAGCTCCATTCCCTAATCAATAAATGAAGTTGCATCCTGCAAACACATGGAATTGCATATATATATGAGTATGTGTGCTGTTCTTTGCTTCCCATGGTATAAGGTTCACAATTGGCACTTTCGTAAATACACTTAGATTTTTTTCTCACAAAATGCCCTGGCACAATATTACACATCTATGACCCCCTAATCGTGACAATTCATTAAATTGTGAGTATGCCGAATGTGAGAATGTGCCTCCCGTGTTCATGCAGACCCTTATACAGACTTCCAATATGGAATTCAGCATGTGAACATATAAATTAAGTTACTGTTAATATTACATCATTTTGTGGAACCTTTTTACCATTTCATTTGAGTGCAGCAGTATATTCAATGCCTGGGTTTTAGTACTGCAATTACTACCAAATTAATATCCCTTGTTTTTTTTCTTATTTTCTCTCCCACCTCACTTTGCCACGTCTTCATTGTATGCAGCAAGTGACCTCAAATGTGGACGTGCATCAGATACGTGGGATAGGTTTTGATGCCACATGCTCGCTGGTGGTTCTGGATGAAGACTTTGGCCCGCTTCCAGTAAATGAAGAAGGTAATTGGCACCTTTAAAATTAACCGACACTTTGCTTTATTTAGGTTAGTGCCTGATATACTTGTACACGGCACAATTTTTTTATACAAATAAAAACTTCTGCATTTTGGTCTTAATTTTAGACTTCCTACCATAGGTGTATTTATTGCCTATTTGTTTGTACTGATGGCAAATGTGCCAAGTAAAGTGTTATAAACGTGACGTTAAAACTCATCATTACACTATTGCACACGCATGAGCAGGAGAATGAGTGCACAGAATGCAGGAGGCGGAACACCTGCGTGCTCGTTAACGTTCGGCAATGGACGAAGCTGTAATAATGATCTCTTACATTAACTCCCAACATTGACTGACAACATTAATGGCGAAATACCCCGATGCCTCTTACACAGGGGAAAGGTGCCGTAATATTGTGATGTGGTGCGACCACCGTGCCATCGGTGAGGCGGACCAGATAAATTGCACGCGACATGCGGCCTTGGCATCACTCGGCGGGGTCATGTCTCCTGAGATGCAGCCCCCAAAGCTGCTGTGGCTTAAACGGGTGAGACAAAATAAGCTAATAGCTCAGTGGGCTTTACCTGGTAAGATAAAAATTGATGATTGTTTTTTTTTTACCCTTTTATCTGGCAACAAAACTGACACCTTTTTTTTTTACAGGGGGTCATGTTTGCATTGACCACAGTACCTGCGGTCGGAATGCAAACAAAAAAACATAACTCTGATAATGTATGCACTGTCCTTGAAATTGATTGGTCCACACCCGAGACAGCTTTTCAAGGACAGTGCATACATTATCGGAGTTATGTTTTTTGTTTGCATTCCGACCGCAGGTATTGTGGTCAATGCAAACATGACTCCTTGTTAAAAAGGTGTCAGTTTTGTTGCCAGATAAAAGGGTAAAAAAACAATTATCATATTTTGCTACTGGCAAAGGAGGTTCCAATGGTGTAAAAGATAAAAAATTGTTTAGTTTTATTTGTATATTTTAATCAGTGATTTTCTTACCTTTGCTATCATTTACACTCTTATCGGGTTTCTATATTGTGTGTTGTTGTAACGTTTAGACCTGCCTGTACTGGACAACTGTGAAAAGAGCATTATACCTCATCGGATTCCTCGAGTATAAATAAAGATTCTGATTCTATGTGATGATTCGTATACAACCACCCGTAAGTTGTGCATAATGTTTGCTGTTAAAGGACTAAATATACAACTCAGAAAATGAATATCTCTTAATCTTGTAGATGGATACCTAAAATGTGTATCCTGGACTATGAAACACAAGTACAGTAAAACCTTGGATTGCGAGTAACTTGGTCTGCGAGTGTTTTGCAAGACGAGCAAAAATGTTAACAATACGAGCAGTACGTATACGCTTTGTCTGCCGAGCGTCACGTGACCACAACTGATATACGAGTGCTTTGGTATACGAGTGCTTTGGATTACAAACACGTTTCCGGAACGAATTATGCTCGCAATCCAAGGTTTTACTGTATTAAGCTTCATTAATGTGAACACAAGTCTAAACAATGCATTTCAGAACTCCATTTACATCACTGCAAAACTATACCCATACATTTGAAAACATCAGTGATGTCGTCTGGAGAAATATCAATGTTTGACTGGATCATGTTAAGTTTTGTATATCCAGTCAAGAGTTTTTAAAGATGCAGAGTAAGTCCCTGAGATGTTTCTGAGGAATGAGTAACATTGAACAGTTGTTCAAGAGATGTTCCATCATTTGAGGTTCACCACTTTCGCATTGTGGAGTGTCTTTGAGTCCCCATTTGTAACTGCAGTGTACGTATGATGTTCTGATGTGAATACATAATTGCAGTGATGACACTAAAACATTGTCGTACGTCGCACCTGACTGATTGTAAAGGCGTTTTCTAATATACGAAACTTAATTTTCGCTTTGGACTTTTCTGGGAGACACAAGCTTTGCAGATGTCAAAATGCAGGAGTGCTCTCTTTGTTTAATGTCTTCAAATCAAAAGTTCAGCAATAAGTATTTGCATATATTACACAACAGTATAACAGTTATGTACCATGATTTAATTTAATTCCTTAGAATCTCCCAGACTCGTGGAAGAAGGCACGGCATTTTTTTGATCTTCCGGATTTCTTGACGTGGAAGGCAACAGGATCTCTGACCAGGTCATAATCATCACCATGTCACTTGCAATCTCCTACTATTTCCCGTACCTCTAATTAGCACGGTTGGCTATGTATGGTGTCCATTAAGTTCAACATACATACAAATGACTGTACCAAGTGAAAAAATCAACTGACTTTTGCATATTCTCCGAATATTGTCCATGCTTGAAACTGTATTTGAAATATAGAGGCCAGCTCCTTCAATTTGCTTTTCTGAGTTGAATAAGAACAAAAACTCAATATATGCTTCTGTACAGGTGTAATCATATAGTACACGAGTGGAGGAAGCCTTTATCAACGTCTGCACCAACCAAGTGATGTTTTTTTGCGAATAGCCTTTCAGTATGCCACTCTAAATGTAAAAAAAGACGGAAGTTTTCTTGCAGCCATCCAAGCGATAGGCCACGAGATCACTTGTTAATATGAGCGCAGTAAACAGAGCAACGTACTGATGAACCAACTGGAGAATATTGGCACGTAAACTCGCGTGAATGTTTTAATTGAAGTTGATAAGGCATCATCGTTCGCTCTTGTGCATATAACGAGTGTTTACTTGGCTGAATTTCGGATTCAAACAAAATTTCGTATTGTGTTGTCAAATGTTTAATTTAGTGCACGGTGATGCATAAAAGATCTCCGTTGTGCCATTGCAGATCTCTCTGCTGTGTGGTGTGCAAATGGACTTACAACGTGGACAGTGGATGGGATCAATCTTTCTGGGATGAGATTGGATTATCTGACATTTGCCAAGAAGGATATTCAAGAATAGGTGGGAGGCATACACAGTAACGACTCCACAGAGTGTGCGAGCAAATGTATTAGCACATAGCTGCAGTCGTCCATCCATCCGTACGTACGTACGTACGTGCGTGCATTGACCCATGCAGGTGTTGACTTCCTGGGACCTGGCCAGCCCCTGTCAGGGGGCCTGACCATGCATGCAGCCGATGAGCTGGGCCTTCACCCTGGCACTGCTGTGGGAGCTGCTCTCATAGATGCACATGCCGGCACTATCGGTGAGTGACTGCCCCTGGGATTAACTCTTTTGTCATACATTTGCAGGGTGTCTCTGCAACAACAACAAAAACACAATTTAGATGTAATTAGCTTTTCACATGACCCTATTATCCCAAGGATATTGAAGGATTGTTTTAACTGCTTTTATTGTGAAATAATGCCGACCTTATATGTAGGTAATAAAAAAAAGACTCGTGGATGAAATGTGGGCGAGTATGAACCTACAGAACCGTAAAGTTTAATTGGCATTTTCATTTGTGTGAGGCTGTCAATGTTTGCCTAGGTGTGATTGGAGGAGACGTCACTGGCTTGGGCCTGGCCTGTGAAAGCCAGCCAATCACAGCACGGTTATCAATGATTGGTGGCACATCAACCTGTCACATGGCTGTAAGTTTGGCACCAAATGTATTGCTTATAAACAATATTTTATACGTAAAATGGTACATACTTTCAAATGTAATATTGTGCTTTACAAACACGTGAGAATTTTTTTTATTTAGAATAAAACATTTTCTTTTCAAGAAAAACTAATTTTCAGTCTAATTTTCGAGATGATTCTGTTTTTCGGGCCATTAGTGTGTAGCTACACATTTGTGTGATGATCTGTGATTTAATAGTGGGTGACCAACATTAGCACAACAAGCAGCAAACCCCATTTTTGTACTATACTTATAAGTTCCCACAGCCTGCACTGACCAGCATGTTAAGTTGGGCTACAAAACGACGAACGCAGCGTGGGGAGGCACTCATCCAGAAATGGATCGACAAAGTTTTGTGTATGCATGTAGACGTACGTCTGTAATCGAGAATAGTTGCTGTACCATCTTTAGTCTTCTTATCCTGACTCAGCATCATCCTCTTTGCTGCTGCTGTTCACACAGCTGAGCGACAAGGCGCTGTTTGTCGGTGGTGTGTGGGGTCCGTACTACTCCGTGGTGCTTCCTGGACTTTGGCTCAACGAGGGAGGACAGAGTGCCACAGGAAGCCTGGTCTCTAATCCATCCATCACATACATTACACAACTGTGGCAGAATGACATTGACGATTGCATGTGTGTGTGTGTGTGCGTGTGGGGAGCGGTAGTGTAGCGGTTAGCGCGCTGCGCTATGACCCTGGCGACCCGGGTTCGATTCCCGCTCACGGCCAACACCAGTGACGATTATCTCGGCCTCCCCTAGGTCGACTCAGCCTCAAATGAGTACCTGGTGCGGTGGATAAAAACATTTCCACTGGGGAGACAAAGGCGGTCGGGTGTGGTGTTGGCCACCCACCCCCTCGTGTACCGTTCCGGCCTTCATAGGTGCTCGCTAACAGCACTTGCCTCTACAGTCTATTAAGGCTATACGGGGGATCTTTATCTTTGTGTGCATGTGTTCCGGCATGCATGTGTATGCAAGAATACTTGTTTGTGTGTGTGAATGTCTTGTCGTGTACAGATTGAACATATAGTGACTGGTCACCCTGCATACAATGAGCTGAAGAAAATTGCTGATGCCAGGTGACATTTTCATCAATTTTGATTTATAACTGCACCTCATCACAACAGAAGTACAAATTTAATTCTGCCATATCTTAAGATAAACCTATGCACTTGTGCCATCATAATAAAATCCATACACCTTCCACATATTAACTTTAATCCTTTTGTATTATACCAGCGGTCAGTCAACCTATGAATGGCTGAATCGACGAGTGGTTTCTATGGCAACTGAGGGAGCTGCACCTGCTACTTTGACATCTGACCTCCACGTGTGCCCGGATTTCCATGGCAACCGATCCCCGCTAGCCGACTCTTCCCGCAAGGGAATGGTACGGTTTTACGTTATTAATATATACATTTCCATCAAAGTCTTGTTCAACTATGAGCTTTGAACTGTACAGGCTTCACGTTGTGGAATCATTTGCGAACAATAACTGTGGAAATTATTTTGTTTTATTCACGGTCATTTTAAATTATGTCTTGGTTACTTTACCTATTTCTTCGTGACTTTGCACAACCATCCTCTTGTGTGTGCGAAATGAGAGGGATTACTTATCAGATTGGGCTATTGTTGTGTGGGCAAAATGTAATGAGTTGTGACTGATGGTCCAGTTGTATTTTTTACTTGCTATTTCATGCTGTTCTCATTGCGGTGTTGATGCATCATGTTAAACTGGTGTACTCTTCATACAATAACGCCAATGCAATCGGCTAAATATGGGGAAATCCCATCTTGTCTTGTACCTTCAGGTGATTGGTTTGGACTTGAGCCACACATGTGATAGCCTGGTGCAACTCTACTTGGCCACCCTGCAAGCCCTTGCTGTGAGTTGAAAGCTACTTTGCCGATCACGGGTTGGTTCTCCGATGTAGTTCTGGGTTTTGCCAAGTGTTCTGCATAATGAAACTCCCATCACTTGGGAGTGAAACGTCGGACATGCAGAACAACATGGTACAACCGGAAAATGCATCGGATAGCGATACAGTGACGCATTCGCAAAAGCCTACGCAACAGCTACTGTTGGTGTTGTGCTATGGTTCATGTGTTGTTTTCAACGTGGCTTCTCTAGTATGTATTGCAACTTGAAACGTGTTCACTCTGTCCTAATGGCATTTATTTGACAATTTTTTTTTGCTGTCAATTTTGATTTTTGTGTCCTATCTACGTGACTTTACCGAAAGAACCAAGAATATGAATTCCTGCAGTGACGAAAGATTTAAGTCTAAATAACATTTTAAGGACTTGCATATTTGTATCTGCATTATTACATTTCCAAACAGTCATTATAAGAGAAAATGGCACTTGTACAAATATAACTTGAATTGCAAACCTGGTGTTCTGGTAAATGTTTAAAAGCATATAAAAACAATAAAATTAAATATAAGCTGCTATGGGAATACATTTACATTAACACAAGCATGTTTTTGAAGTTTTTTTTCTTTTACAAATATGAATTGATTACGGCGGCGTAACCTTTTTTAAAGGAATAATGCCAACTGTTTGTGTCTTCCACCCATAGCTTGGGACACGCCACATTCTTAATGCGATGACACAATCGGGCCACAATGTGAGCGCAATATTCATGTGTGGAGGGCTGAGCAAAAATTCATTGTACGTGCAGGCACATGCAGATGCCACAGGTAAGCCAACATTCCCATACACTGCTTGGAATGTCTCCATGAACCTGTCTGAAACGGGTGATTACCTCATTAAACGTGTGCATGGTGGACCCTCTCATAAATGTGTATGGTTAAAAGTGGCAACCCAGGCTTTTGCACGTATTGAAGTCTCATTTGCGTGATGTACCGTCGTACTTTGGTCAAACGTTGTGTATCTTGTTTACGTAACACTATATGGCTTGAGATGTGAACACTGGATGGAGGTGACAAGAAGTTGTGAAAAATGTAAGAAAATAGCGGAGGCCTTTGACTAGTGGTGGGATATTAATGACTAAGGAAAAATAAATGTTGGGGTTTTTTTATCAGTAGGATGCACAGCTTTCAATCGGTGTGAGTTATAAATCCAGTCAGGGGTCAACTTGGCCCTTCATCACTCTGGCTTCGATGAAATTAGTACTACTTTGTGAGGACTTGTTCAATGAAAATACTCACCATGTGGAATCCCACTTAAAGATCAGGGTTATAGATAGGAGATTGGCATCACCCCATGCTCAGTTGCGTCAGAAACCATATGTATGTCTGCGGTCTTGTAAAACAACCACACACCACTACCAGTTGAGATAGTAAATGTATAGCTTGTGCTCGATATGTTGGTAAGTTGTGCTTGTTTCTGGCCGGCAGGTCTCCCTGTTGTGCTTCCAGCAGAGGCCGAGGCTGTGGTGGTTGGGGCAGCCATCTTGGGAGCTTGCGCCTCTAAGGATTTTACATCCATGCAGGCGAGGCTCATTTGTGTTTTTCTGTTGACGGTGCTAAATTACGAATATAATCATGAATAATTATAGATCAGTCAGCTTTTATCGCAGCACTGACAACTTTTAATTGATGTGCATAATTTCAGGAGGCAATGCAGCACATGGTAAGGGTTGGCAAGGTGATTCATCCAGACCCTGCTGTAAGAAGGTAAGCCATTATACGCTTAAAAAACTTGCTCTCGTATAGATTTAGAGCCGAGACCAGGAGTAGTGCAGTAAGCCTTTAAAGCACCGCTTGCTTTTATTGTCAGTTACATGTATACAGTATATAAAGTAGTAGGTGAAGAGTTACTTGTTTAATTCATTTGGAAAACTCGACGGGCCAGAATCAAACTATAAAGAATGTTCATTTTTGTAAAAATGGTGAAAAAGTGTTCACGTTTTCTTTACTAACAATTGGGCATTTTGCGGAGTCCGTGTGCTTAGCCTTTTCATCAAAATATAAATCTGGCCCCTTAAGTGTACTAACGGGGATGGAGCAATCGTGCAGTTGTTGACATTGTAATATGAGGCCAGAAAATTTAGTTAATGTTTCATCCATAGCTAATATCAGTCGCGAGTGATATCTGAAATTGTCCTCAACCCCTGCACCGTGCTGTGTGGTGAAATATGGTCAAACAACCCCCATGACTGACACATGGTGAGGAAGCTTGATCCTGCAGTGGATTTACAGGGCTTTACATTTTTATTAACCATCATATTGTGGTGTGCAGGCTGTTGTGAATGCAGATACATATTAGTGATACATTGTAGCAGACATTGTGTTAAAAGTCGCCTATGTGAAATAAAAAAAAAATCTTGCAGTTGTCAACATATTTTAATTTGATATACACGAGTGCCTGACATGCCATTCATATAATTAAAATATTGATTTGGTGATGTGTGCAGCTTCTATGAGAGGAAGTACAAGGTGTATATGCTCATGGGCCGTAATCAACTGGAGTATCGCTCGCTTATGAGTTCTACGGACCACCGTGCCAACTCGTAATCAAGGGCAGATGAACGACTATAATAAATGATTAGTAAACGCAGTTGTGCCAAAGAACAAAATGTATTCATTTATCGATGCATTGATTGAACGTGTATTCACAAATCTCCTTTGTAACTATGACAAGTAAATATGCAGCCCAGCAATGTTTTGGTCACGTAACCATCACGGCATGGCGAAGGGCCTCCGCTGGAGAGAGCTTGGAATTGCGTCCAATATTTACTCTGTTCAGTTTTAAATCAAATGGATTATTGAAACACGCTTTATAGTTTGAACTCATGAAATGAAGTCTCCAGGTGATATCTAAAGTGGTATTTACACGATCAGTAATTTGTGTACACTATCACTGCTTATATGAACACTAAGTAAATTCAATTAGGTTTATGAATTGTACAACTTTTAAATGGCAAGATTGTCAAAATGAATATGCAAAATACTGATTTTTCATTCTACTGTAATAACACTTTTATAAAGTGATTTTAATAAACGTGATTGCAATGTACACACATTTGAATTTTGCCTTTTTCATGAACCAATACATTTGTTGTTGGATTTACCATCCTTAACCTGATTTTACATCCATGCAGGCAAGTCACCCACCCCTCGTGATCAATTGTAACAAGGGTCCGATTCAAGACTATTTTGACACTGGCGTCCTGTAATTCCTTGTGGCTTGAGGCGTTATCAGAACACATTGAATGCAAGTCGCTTGGGTCGTATGTCTGATGAGCGTCAGCAATTTAAGCTCCAGGGCATCATTACACACCTAATGTAGCGGCCGTCATCACCAGCCCCGTTCCAATTCTGGATGAAGGCCTCACAAAGCCGTCGCGAGCTCCTGCGGTCCTGCAATGCTACTCGGTGCTGATTCTTGACCATCAGCCATAGTTGATCATCGGCCATCCCGCACCCTCCGATTAGCACGGTTGGCTACTTACGGTGCAAACGAAGTTCAACATACATCACCTCTCAACAACTATGCAACAATGAACCCATGTCGTTTGGTAGTTATGTCAACTTTCATTTTTTTTTAATCGGCGGATTGAGAGTTTTACTTGTGAGAACAGTAGTACGTGCCGCACACGTGCACACTGGGAGCCACTGGGAGCCACAGACAGTGCAGTACCCATGGGAGGTACTATGAGTTGGCGTCATTGGAGACTAGCAGGTGTCGAGTCTATAAGGACTACAATATGGAGAATACAATTATGAATGTGGTGGTGGGGTAGCAATATCGCCATTAGCCGTGACGATCTCTCGTCCATTGTTGCTGAGATGATAACTGCAGTACATAAAATTTATTTCAAACAAAATTATATACGATAAGGTATGTGCCACAAAGAAGGACAATTACCTGAAACGTTGCCTATTATGTATTGTTTCCTTTTTTAAGGCAGTGTAATTGGTAAAGTTTTGAGCTTTTAAGTTCTGGTTTGGTTCCACTGTCAACTCAATATCACAATCATTAATGTCTCGGAGGTTTGTACATAAATTACTGAATTATTGGGTTTCAGCGGTAATAAATGTTACAACTCAAAACTCCATATAATGTAAGTGACTAAATCAATCATTTGGGCAGGCGCGGCAAGTCCACTACGGGCGTTGAGGCGTCGCCCCACCAAGCCGATGGAGATGAGAAATTATTTTTCTAATACTTTTCTAGAAATAGTTTTGTCGTGTTTTTTTTAATGTAATGATTTTTCAACGCGAGTGTGAGCCCAATGAAGGTAACAATTTAGGTTGTTCGTATTAGAAACCGCGGCAATGCCACAGTCTTGATTTGTCTCAGAACGATTGTGAAGGTGTCCCGAGTGAGAGGCATCCATCCCCATCATTCTTAGTTTCCAGCATTTTGGCCACGCCGTTTCAGACCCATTCAGGGCCGTGAACGAGTCGCCCATGGCTGTGATGAGACGATGTCACAACGCGAAGTTGCACTGTGCAAATAAAGGTCACGACTTTTTGCCAATGTCAAAGTGTTCTTTGGT